GCTCCTTATACTTTTGGCCATGGTAAAAATTGATCTAGAATAATTGGCCAACAATGTAACAATGTTAACATAGCCAAATGCAATGATAATAGGTATCTACCCAGGTATCTACTCACCAGAACACTGCTTGTCTTGACAATGCAACAAAAATTAACAATGAAGGTACAATAAAAGAATAATTATAAGAATAAAAGCAAAATACGATAGGTGAGAATCTCAGACGTCTGAGGTGAGAAACTTGTGAGAATTCTGTTTCGTTTCTACAAATTATAACCAAAAAGCCAATGTTTTGACAACCAAACGTGCACTTCGACGATTGTCTCGCGGCAGGAGTATGAATGTAATTTGCAGTTGGCAGTTTTCTCCTCATAGGAGAATTTTGAAGTGAATGCCTGCCACAGCCGCAGTAGCGACAGTGCCTGAGGACTAGGAGACTAGTAGGAGGAATAGTATTTTCAACAAATATCACAATGCCAATGCCCTTTATTACTGCCGCGAGACAATCGTACCCTTCGCTGTCAAAGTTCAAAGCTGTCAGTATGAACTGTCAACAAGAAGGCAGAAGCGGAATGAATGGAATGATATCTTAATGACATAGGTACATGAACGCTGAGGCCGATTGATAAAAGATTCAAAATAATAATAATCATAAGAAGTAATAATAAGAAGAAGGAGAGACTTAACCCAGACTTTTTGTTAACGGTTCGACTGTTGGAGTTGATATTCAAAATCCTGACATTTGTGCGTCACATTATTATATATTTATTATACATTTCTCGAATTACATTTTGATTAGAACAATTCTTAATAAATTTCTCTGAAAATGAAGAGGCAGTTGAAGAATCCTATGTATGGTGAGTTCCAATTATGTTGCCAGCAGTGAAATTCAAAGTACCTATATTATTCCTATACATGACTATGGCAATACTATTCCTAATCACCTTGTTCGAATTTTTACAGAAATCGATCAATCTGGAAAACTCAAACTTCTACCACTTCAATGGGATTCACCACCAGGACAAAGACCTGGCAGTTGTAAGTACACATATATTTATTCATTTGATAGTACCAAATTCAAATTGAATTTTTTTCAGCTATTAAAAAGATGAGTGAAGAGAAAAGAAAGGTCTTGGCAGAACTGAAACCATTGTGCCTATCAGATTTTGCAGGTAAAGAACAATACTGACTAGTGATACTCAGGTAAAATATATTTTGTTTCAGAACCCAGATCTAAAGTGAGGAAAACAGATTCTGTGAGAAAAGGCTTGTTTACAAAACCACAAGTGAAGGAAAATCAACCATCTAGGATCTCTTTGGCTAGAAGAAATTCAGTAGCAAGAAAAAGTTCAACTACTTTTAAGAAAGTGAAGGTGAGTTTTTCTGTTTTTTTTACATTTGGAATGAAACACCTCAAACTTTAGTGCTCACCCAAAATGTTTTGCTAGGTTTATTTATGAATGAACAAAATTTGAGTCACTGATTTTTAATACCAAAAAGTAATTTCAGTTTTCAAATATACTGAAAATTTTAGAGGCAGGTGATAAGTACTTTATGTTCCTGATTTTTTTTTTAAAGGAACCAGCTATCAAAAATAACCTTCCCTTATCATCACCACTTCTGAACTTGGAGGAAGTAGAGGAAGAACTTTTAACCAAAAAGCCAACTCTGCCAGGTTATCCTTTCAAATCCCCTAACAGACCATCTTTCAACTTCTCAAGATCTGTATCAAAGTCCAAACCACTGAATATTCCTCACATTATTGTAGAAGAACCAAACCAAACTGCTAGTCAAAGTGATAAAAATGTGGATCATGTTGAAATGGACCAGAATATCAAGGAAAAAGAACCAAAAACCCCTGATTCTCAGTCTTCCACAGAGTTCCTAAAACTAGAGAAAATGTGTATTGATTCTCCAGTATCTTCAATGTGTAATTTACTGGAGGACACAGGTTTGAACAGTATAAAAAGACCAAAACCAGGTTCTAGTAAACCAGGAGACATAAAGTCATTGTTGAGGAGTTTGGAAGATATAATAGAAAGTGAACAAACAGCTTTCAAAAAGTACCAAGAAGCCCATGAACATAACATGAAAAATCTCCAAACCCTACTTGCCAGTTACAAAGAAAAAGACACATCAAATAGTGACAAAGAAAACTCACCTGTACCTTTGAACCAACGACGATCTATTAGACTTCAAAATAGGAGCCCCTTACGTCCTAACAATGACAAACTCTTAGTATCACCTGGTATATTAAAAAGCGGTGATTTACGCAAATCAACATTGAAGAAAAATCTTGCAGCCAGGAACAAAGATTATACAATACAGGGCTGCAGGACTCCAAAGCCCACAGAACTGTTCAGGAAATTGAAACAATCCATTTTAGAGACACCAAAGACAGAAAGGAAGTGTTTGATTGTGGAAGAATCCCCTGGTATGAGGTATATTTCCATGATGGTTCAAAATCAGTGTCTGATGTTGCAAGATACTCCAGTGCATAAGTGATGATTTATTTTTAGTTATATAATATTATTTAATATTCTCTAGCTATAAGTTTTTTTTTTATATATTTTTTCAGTGAAATAAACTACTGCTAATTTTGTATCAAAATAATTGTTTGTGTGGGTGTGTATAATTTGCAGACTGGAATGAAATGTTGCGATGTTTTTATTGCATATCTGGATTCAGCTCACTGATATACAGGATGAGAAGTTTCAGTTTTTTTTCTATGACCTCCCTGGGGAGCACTTTACTCTTGTGTTTTTTCATAAAATCTTGCGGACTGGGCATTTTTGAGAGTCAAATCATCTCAATTTCACCATAAATTGATTTATTCCATGAAAATACACGATGAAAAGTTTTTGAATTTTTTCCCTAGCCCCCCTGGGGAGCACTTTACTCTTGTGTTTTTTCAGGAAATCTTGCGGACTGGGTATTTTTGAGAGTCAAATCATCTCAATTTCACCATAAATCTATTTTTCTCATGAAAATACACGATGAAAAGTTTTTGAATTTTTTCTATGACCCCCCTGGGCAGTACTTTACTCTTGTGTTTTTTCATAAAATCTTGCGGACTGGGCATTTTTGAGAGTCAAATCATCTCAATTTCACCATAAATTGATTTATTCCATGAAAATACACGATGAAAAGTTTTTGAATTTTTTCCCTAGCCCCCCTGGGGAGCACTTTACTCTTGTGTTTTTTCAGAAAATCTTGCGGACTGGGTATTTTTGAGAGTCAAATCATCTCAATTTCACCATAAATCTATTTTTCTCATGAAAATACACGATGAAAAGTTTTTGAATTTTTTCTATGACCCCCCTGGGCAGTACTTTACTCTTGTGTTTTTTCATAAAATCTTGCGGACTGGGCATTTTTGAGAGTCAAATCATCTCAATTTCACCATAAATTGATTTATTCCATGAAAATACACGATGAAAAGTTTTTGAATTTTTTCCCTAGCCCCCCTGGGGAGCACTTTACTCTTGTGTTTTTTCAGAAAATCTTGCGGACTGGGTATTTTTGAGAGTCAAATCATCTCAATTTCACCATAAATCTATTTTTCTCATGAAAATACACGATGAAAAGTTTTTGAATTTTTTCTATGACCCCCCTGGGCAGTACTTTACTCTTGTGTTTTTTCATAAAATCTTGCGGACTGGGCATTTTTGAGAGTCAAATCATCTCAATTTCACCATAAATTGATTTATTCCATGAAAATACACGATGAAAAGTTTTTGAATTTTTTCCCTAGCCCCCCTGGGGAGCACTTTACTCTTGTGTTTTTTCATAAAATCTTGCGGACTTGGTATTTTTGAGGGTCAAATCATCTTAATTTTACCATAAATCGATTTATCTCATGAAAATACACGATAAAAAGTTTTTGAATTTTTTCCCTAGCCCCCCTGGGCAGTACTTTACTCTTGTGTTTTTTCATAAAATCTTGCGGACTGGGCATTTTTGAGAGTCAAATCATCTCAATTTCACCATAAATTGATTTATTCCATGAAAATACACGATGAAAAGTTTTTGAATTTTTTCCCTAGCCCCCCTGGGGAGCACTTTACTCTTGTGTTTTTTCAGAAAATCTTGCGGACTGGGTATTTTTGAGAGTCAAATCATCTCAATTTCACCATAAATCTATTTTTCTCATGAAAATACACGATGAAAAGTTTTTGAATTTTTTCTATGACCCCCCTGGGCAGTACTTTACTCTTGTGTTTTTTCATAAAATCTTGCGGACTGGGCATTTTTGAGAGTCAAATCATCTCAATTTCACCATAAATTGATTTATTCCATGAAAATACACGATGAAAAGTTTTTGAATTTTTTCCCTAGCCCCCCTGGGGAGCACTTTACTCTTGTGTTTTTTCATAAAATCTTGCGGACTTGGTATTTTTGAGGGTCAAATCATCTTAATTTTACCATAAATCGATTTATCTCATGAAAATACACGATAAAAAGTTTTTGAATTTTTTCCCTAGCCCGCCTGGGCCCCCCTCTTGTGTTTTTTTCATAAAATCTTGCAGACTTGGTATTTTTGAGGGTCAAATCATCTCAATTTTACCATAAATCGATCTATCTCATGAAAATACACGATCAGAAGTTCTCGAATTTTTTCCCCAGCCCCCCTGGGGAGCACTTTACTCTTGTGTTTTTTCATAAAATCTTGTGGACTGGGTATTCTTGAGGGTCAAATCATCTCAATTTTACCATAAATCGATTTATCTCATGAAAATACATGATGAAAAGTTTTTGAATTTTTGCCCCAGCCCCCCTGGGGAGCACTTTACTCGTGTGTTTTTTCATAAAATCTTGCGGACTGGGTGTTTTTGAGATTCAAATCATCTCAATTCCACCATAAATCAATTTATCTCATGAAAATACATGATGAAAAGTTTTTGAATTCTTTCCCCAGCCCCCCTGGGGAGCACTTTACTTGTGTGTTTTTTCATAAAATCGTGCGGACTGGGTATTTTTGAGGGTCAAATCGCCTCAAGAGTAAAGTGCTCCCCAGGGGGGTCATAGAAAAAAAACTGAAACTTCTCATCCTGTATATGGGTGAGCTGAATTCAGATATGCAATAAAAACATCAAAAAGTTTGATGGAAATAGCCAGTCCCCAACATTTTATTCCAGTCTGCAAATTATACACACCCTGTTTGTTTCTAGTAAATGTACTCCCTGATAACACTTCTAAATTTGCAAATGTTGTCTCTATAAATTGGTGAATTCAATAGTTTTTCCTCAGAATAATGGGTATTTGATATTCTTCTCTTGGGATGGTGTCAAAATGATTTTTTTAAATGGTTTCAGAAGTCTCTTATCTTTCCTGTTTTCTCTTTATTTTCTTACAATACAACTCTTTGTTCAGAAATAATCTTAAAACAACATTCAAGCATGCAAAATAATTGAATAATCCATACTCAAAATATATTATACAATCTCCTTATACCTAATACTCAATTCACCAAAACTTTACATTAAAGATCATCCAAATCCACTGCTTCCACTTGTGGGCAAATTTCCTGAACTGCTGATCCTTTTGTTGCCACAACCTCACTTTTAACTGGATCTCCCAAATTTATCCAGCTTCCTGGCTCAGCCTTTTTCAGCTTGATCTCTACTTTGGTACCATACATTGTAACATGGCTAGCATCCACATCTGCAATGCCTCTGAGCTCTATGTCTAGTGCAAAACAAGCATTGGCTTCTTGTGGAAATACCAGTTTTGTGAATAACCTCACAGGACTCAGTTTGATGATACTTTCTTTTGGACAATATTGTTTGGCATATATTGAGACAATTACATATTGGGCAGTCTGGTGGAAATCCCAACGGCACTGAATAGTTTTCTCATCAGGCTCTTCTTTTTCCCAGACATGGGAACCTTGTTCACAACCCACTTGGCTCAAAAAAGTGTTGAAATCTGTTGTTTTCCTTTGACAGCAAGACCAATATTTCAGGCCTTCATGGAATATAGGAACCCCAGGATGGTAAACACATCTAGAACCATTTATTTCTGGTCCCTCATACTTGATACCACATCCCCTGTTCTGACAGACAGTTCCAACTGCAATTTCACTAGGATCACTCTTTTCCTTCACTTCCTGTTTAGTTTCTATAGATTTTTGTTGGGCCAAAGACGGAGCCAGTTCTGGTTTCATAACTACCATAGCTGTATTGAAAGCTGGTCTATCCAGCCTTATTTTTTGTGTAATTGGTTTCACTACAACTGGTTGTTCATCAGGTATATCATTTCTTGTGGGTTTTTCGGGTTCAGGGGGCTTGACGTTCGAATGTTTGGATACGGTGCAGCCCTTGATGTTGAGGAACTCTGTAAAATCGGTGCATTTCTTACTACAGCAGCCCCAGCCTTTGTAGGCATCATGGAAAACTGGTACTCCTGGGTGGTGCCTGCAAGAGTCTTCAGTGTTATTGTTGGGGTCGAATTTTTGGCCGCAGCCACGGTTGTAACACTGTAATAAGTTCTCCTGCTGGGACATTTTTCGACTTCTTGGATTATTTGAAAATAAAAATAAACAGAATAAGAAAAAAAGCACGTGTACCACAGAACAGAATGTCCAATTGACCACAGAACATCCAATATGATGAAATGAAGGATGACGATGACACGATGACAAACTGTAACTGTAATTTTTTTGGAAAGAAAGAAGATGAATAATAATAACCTCAAACAAATATCAATATAACCTTACTTTATTTCTACAAGATTTGCACTGAAACTGCTAAAAGTTTGTGAGGCTCTGCTGCTTTCTGTGGTGCTGTTTGGTTGTTTTTAGGAGAAAATGTTTCTATGAAAAACAAGGAAAATGTTTACTACGAAAGTTTTCATCAAGAAAACAAGAATAGGAAATTTCCTCAAGGTATCCATTCCTAAAATGAGATGGTATTGCCATGTATTTATAATAATTCCTTATTTCAGAACGTGAGAGAACACTATATTCGTGATGATATATTCTGTGGTGTACCGTCTTGTGATAAATGTACCCCCGTGGAATCATTCTTGTCATCAATCCATAAGAATGAATGTTCCTCATATGATTTCAACCACTATCTCATATTGGATACAAATGTGATTTTAGATCAGGTAAGACACCGATTTTAAATTCTCAAAGCAAAATTATGCTTACAGCTATTGTTTTAGATGGATGTATTGGATGAAGATGTTATAGGAAATGTAATCATCCTTCATACTGTGTTGAAAGAAGTCAAACACAGAAGTTTGCCTATTTATAAGAGACTTCACAGCATAATAGAGAACCCTAGTAGGCATTTTTATGTATTCACAAATGATCACCATAAGTAAGAGGTGTTGAAATTGTTCTGCTCAAAAGTAAGCTATTGAATTTTGCAGAGACACATATATCAAACAAAATGATGGTGAATTAGTAAATGATTACAATGATAGATCTATTAGAAAGAGTTGTTTGTGGTACATGGATCATTTGCCCAAGGAAAAGTTCATTTTTTTGAGTGATGATGTGAACAATAGAAACATAGCATTAGAAGAGGGAATTCTAGCCTGTTCAAGTAAGTTTCCTCAAAAATCTTATTAAAAAACATAACTATCTATTACTAAAATTGCAAACAAAGTTTTAAATTTGTAGAAATAGAGTTATTAGGCATTTGCTGGATTTGCCCATGTACATATATATGAATGTTTGAATTTTATTAGAAGAATGAAGAAAAGTCTCAATTATTCAACCAAACTGCATAATTTTACTTGACACAATAACAATTAATGGGTAAAATGTGTAAATTTTTTTAACAGCCTGCATTAAGTCCATTGAGGCCTTACAAGGTGAAAAAATCTTTCACTTTGAAATCAAAAATTCTATTTGAATCATAATGCCACTGAAACTGGTGACTTGAGCCAGTTGAGTTGAAGTGTTATTTTCTCAATTTAGTACAATATACTTGAATTTAGTACAATTTAGGAATGACATCTAGTACAAATTGAAATTCTGAAACAGAAACACTGCTGCCATTGCTTATGAAAGCAATTCAAACTTTCCTGAGCATCACTAGATTTTGATGATTTTTTATATGGGAAAGTCAATATAGTTACAGGCTACAGGTCATCTCTGATGTGGAAAAAATATAGCACTAATTATTTTCTCGAAAATGATTCATAACTTTTTCAGCCATCAGTAGATTTTGATGAAATTTTTTATTTGGGCTGGTCCATAGTCAAGGAACTCTCAAACTAACGGGTTTCCCAATAAGAAGGCTGGACCTTTAAAGTGTAATAAAGTAAAAAGTTCAAACAGATAGCTCAATTCTGTTTTCACCATTGACTTTTTTGGGTCGAAAAACCGCCTAATTAGGTCACAGAATCGAAATGAAAGCAACATCTCGAAATATGACAAACACTTACATTTCAGTTGAGGAAATTGATCAGATATGGTCCTAGGCCCTAGGCGAAAATCCAAACTTTTTTCAGAGCAAAGATAGCTCAATTATGTTTTCACCATTGACTGTTCTGGGTCGAAAAATGGCCTATTTAGGTCACAGAATCAAAATGGAAGCGATATCTCGAAATATGACGAACATTTACATTTCAGTTGAGGAAATTGATCAGATGGTCCTAGGCGAAAATCCAAACTTTTTTCAGAGCAAAGATGGCTCATTTCTGTTTTCACCATTGACTTTTTTGGGTCGAAAAACCGCCTATTTAGGTCACAGAATCGAAATGAAAGCGATATCTCGAAATATGACGAACATATACAAGGAAATTGATCAGATGGTCCTAGGCGAAAATTCAAACTTTTTTTAGAGCAAAGATAGCTCAATTCTGTGTTCACCATTGACTTTTTTGGGTCGAAAAACCGCCCAATTAGGTCACAGAATCAAAATGGAAGCGATATCTCGAAATATGATGAACATTTACAAGGAATTTGATCAGATGGTCCTAGGCGAAAATTCTAACTTTTTTCAGAGCAAAAATAGCTCAATTCTGTTCTCACCATTGACTTTTTTAGGTCGAAAAACCGCCTAAATAGGTCACAGAATCAAAATGGAAGCGATATCTCGAAATATGACGAACATTTACATTTCAGTAAAGGAAATTGATCAGATGGTCCTAGGCGAAAATTCTAACTTTTTTTAGAGCAAAGATAGCTCAATTCTGTTTCCACCATTGACTTTTTTGGGTCGAAAAACCGTCTAATTAGGTCACAGAATCAAAATGGAAGCGATATCTCGAGATATGACGAACATTTACATTTCAGTTGAGGAAATTGATCAGATGGTCCTAGGCGAGAATTCAAACTTTTTTCAGAGCAAAAATAGCTCAATTCTATTTTCACCATTGACTATTTTGGGTCGAAAAACTGTCTAATTAGGTCACAGAATCAAAATGGAAGCGATATCTCGAAATATGATGAACATTTACAAGGAATTTGATCAGATGGTCCTAGGCGAAAATCCAAACTTTTTTCAGAGCAAAGATAGCTCAATTCTGTTTTCACCATTAACTTTTTTGGGTCGAAAAACCGCCTAATTAGGTCACAGAATCAAAATGGAAGCGATATCTCGAAATATGATGAACATTTACAAGGAATTTGATCAGATGGCGAGTCAGATGGTCTAAGGCGAAAATCCAAACTTTTTTCAGAGCAAAGATAGCTCAATTCTGTTTTCACCATTGACTTTTTTGGGTCGAAAAACCGCCTAATTAGGTCACAGAATCAAAATGGAAGCGATATCTCGAGATATGACGAACATTTACATTTCAGTTGAGGAAATTGATCAGATGGTCCTAGGCAAAAATTCAAACTTTTTTCAGAGCAAAGATAGCTCAATTCTGTTTTCACCATTGGCTTTTTTGGGTCAAAAACCGCCTATTTAGGTCGCCGAATCGAAATGAGAGCGATATCTCGAAATATGACGATCATATACAAGGAAATTGATCAGATGGTCCTAGGCGAAAATTCAAACTTTTTTCAGAGCAAAGATAGCTTCATTCTGTTTTCACTATTGACTTTTTTGGGTCGAAAAACCGTCTACATAGGTCACAGAATCGAAATGGAAGCGATATCTCGAAATATGACGAACATTTTCATATCAGTTGAGGAAATTGATCAGATGGTCCTAGGCGAAAATTTAATCTTTTTCCAGAGCGAAGATAGCTCAATTCTGTTTTCACCATCGACTTTTTTGGGTCGAAAAACCATCTAATTAGGTCACAGAATCAAAATGGAAGCGATATCTCGAAATATGATGAACATTTACAAGGAATTTGATCAGATGGTCCTAGGCGAAAATCCAAACTTTTTTCAGAGCAAAGATAGCTCAATTCTGTTTTCATCATTGACTTTTTTGGGTCGAAAAACCGCCTAATTAGGTCACAGAATCAAAATGGAAGCGATATCTCGAGATATGACGAACATTTACATTTCAGTTGAGGAAATTAATCAGTAGGTCCTAGGCAAAAATTCAAACTTTTTTCAGAGCAAAGATAGCTCAATTCTGTTTTCACCATTGGCTTTTTTGGGTCGAAAAACTGCCTAATTAGGTCACAGAATCAAAATGGAAGCGATATCTCGAAATATGACGAACATTTACATTTCAGTTGAGGAAATTAATCAGATGGTCCTCGGCGAAAATTCAAAGGTTCTCCAGAGCAATGATAGCTCAATTATCTGAAAAACTCTTTTCAAATCTTGAAATCGGTTCAAGAATAAGTGAGTTAAAGGGGGACCATTTATGGTGAATCACCCTGTACAAACGTCCGCCAGTTTCAGTGTCATTGAATGATGATAATCTTGTGAATTTTTATTGGACATTATCCCCCTTATTTGATCTATTCACTTTGTCTTTTGTATCTCACAATATGGCATTCAAATTATTATAAATTGACATATAAATACATCCAAGTTACATTAACTCTCAATTCCCCTATTAATAATTTAGACGTTTCTAGTTAGAGAATATGTTTCTCACCTCGTTAATGGCGCTGCATTAGAAGACAAATTATCTAGAAAAGATTATCACATTGACAGCAATACAAAAGATGTTTTCCCCCCACATCTAACAAATGTTGAATTGTTGAATGGAATCAAAGAGGGAGCATTATATCAAGGCACTTTCAGGGCTTCTAGAGATAATTTCCTTGAAGGATTTGTCAATGTAGAGTCACTCGATGACCCTGTAAGTACCTATCCTACAAACAATATCACACACAGCACATGACATCCATTGGACGTCCATTTCAGGTCCATTTCAATTCCAAATGTCCATGGACATTCAATGTACGTACAAACATGGATGATCATTGGATGCTTCAAATTGTATGTCCAGTGGACGTCCATTTTGTATCCAATTATCCATGTACGTAGAATGTACATTCATTGCACTGATGAAGATGGGCGTACAATGTATGTTCAAAAATTAACGTCCGTCAGACATCTATTTTACGTCGACCCAAGGTATAAACTCTCATGGACTTTCGATCAACATCCATTGTACTTAGGAAGACGGACGTGCATTGGATGATACAAATTTAACTTCCATCGGACGCAATATAACTGTCATTCGAAGTTTTAAGAATGAATGATAATATTTATAAAGAATCGTTCAGACTAAATATACATTTGAAAACATTTCACGTCTGAAGGTTTATGAACGTCCATTGTACGTTCCGAGATGGACGTGTGGTTATTGATTTTCTTGCCACCATTGTGAGTACAAAGATGAGCATCCATTATAAGTCCAAATATTTACATCTTCTGTACGTCCATAGTGGTGTCCTCAGGACATCCAGTGGACGTCCATTAGGCGTTAATTGGACGCCTATTCAAGTACGATCATTGGACGTCCTTACGATCCGAAGTGGACGTACATTGGACATACATGTGCTGTGAGGAAGTCACTGGAACAATAAGTGGTTGATATTGCTGGATTTTCATTGAAAAGGGTTTTCTAGGTGATTGTACAAGGTAGGACAGGTCTAAATAGAGCTGTGGACGGTGATTTTGTTGTGGTAAATTTGTTCAACAAAGAAGACTGGATATCACCAAGTGAGATAGTCTTAGAAGACGACGGAGTAGCGGAAGAAAATATTGACGAAGTCGAGAAAAAAGAACGCCAGCTCAAAAAGTCGGCTCACAAAAAAAAGGGGGAGATCAAGCCGACTGGGCGAGTGGTGGGGATAATCAGAAGGAAATGGAGGCAGTATTGTGGCATTCTACAGGGCGGTATGGACGGAGTTTACCAGCTGTTTATACCAGCTGATAAAAGTATTCCGAAAATCAGGATTGAAACTAGGCAAGCCGAATTTTTGCGAACACAAAAACTTATTGTCACTATCGATTCATGGCCTAGACACTCCAGATACCCACATGTAGGTGTATAATGCTTATATTTTGTTTCTTACTTTTTTGTCATTCCTTATAAATTTGCGTATTTTTGCTTTCATTTCATGTGTGTCGAATGGTTTGAATGGTCCATAAAAATGATTATAAGAGTGTTTTTTAGGGTCATTTTGTAAGGGCTCTTGGCAAAATTGGGGACCAGAATACAGAAAACGAGGTAGTATTGTTGGAACATGATGTTCCTCATAGCCAGTTTTCTGAAGAAGTGCTTAGCTGTTTACCCAAGCTCCCTTGGATTATTACTGAAGAGGTAAATCAATATTTTTTTTTTGTATAAGTGAAGAAAACGATGATATCGCGATTTTTTTTAAATTTTGAATCACTCAGAAAAAATTGTGTTTGTACAGGGTGTCCCACCTAAATGTGTCACCCCCTTTTATCCTGGTAATTCTCAACATATTTTGGCCTTTCAATAACGTTTCTGAAATAATTTCTTACAAATCTTCCATATCTGTGCTCACTTTTTCTTCATATCAACAAAATACAGGGTGGCTAAGAAAAAAAGATATTTTCAAATGAAATGATCTAAATTGTTTCCGATAATAATATATGAATTATATAAATTTTTGAATCCTTTTTCTGAACACCCTGTTATTTGTTGATATAAAGAAAAGGTAAGTACATGTTCAAAAAATTCGTGAAAAATTAATCCAGAAAAGTTTTTGAACGACCAAAATATGTTCGGAATTGAGCGAACAAACGGGGGTTACACAAAAATTTCTGTTTTTACTGCGAAAATTCAATCCCTCAGAAGACATTTTGAAAATCTACGCATTTTTTAATTTTCCAATGAATGGGTAAGTTTGAGACATTTCTAACAAGCTTTTTCAAATTTTCCAAAATTTTGGGGATATTGAGTTTGAGAAATAATGATTGTTCAAATACTCAACAGAAAACATGCGATAGATTTTTTTTTATATGTAGTTGGTACTAAAATTATTTCATCTGTCTACAGGATGAGCAAAGACTTTCAAGGTCAATAACTTCGTAATGAATTGCGATAGATTTTTTTCTTTCATATGAAATACTAACAATATTTTGAAAACCCTGTATATTCACCATTCCACTCAATTCTCTCTACAGGACGAGCAAAAACGGGTGATCAGAATTCTGAATTTTGAACCACCCTGTATTCGTTTCAATTAAATGTCAGTAGATGATGAATCAAAAGTTAAGATAGGGACATGAAACCAACTGTGATAGATCGATGAAATCAGCTCTTCAGGGAGAATCTAAAAATGCAATGAAATACAGGGTGTTTCATTTAAAAATTTATAAATCTTGCCCATAACTTTTTTTTGAGATGTTCAATTGTTTTTCTGTTAACATATTCAAAATCTACAGGAAAAATTATAAAAGACTGTTCTTTGGAAAAAAATTCGATGATAAATAAAATAGTCAAGGGGGGGGGGGTTCAAAATATACGTGAAGACCCTGTACATCCTGAAGCCAACGAAAATTCAATCTCTCTCTTGAAATAGATTTGCATTTTTTTTCATATTGTTCATGTATCCCTATATTTATTTATTTATAAACAACTATGTTTCTTGGTGTAATAAAGACAATCAATTAGTCAATCAATCAAATATTGATATAGCAACCGCTTGAAACATATAAATGGCATTTATTCTAACTCTAATCCTAACTATCAAGGTTAATATCTTCTTAAGGAAGCGCGACAGAATTTTCTTCCACCATATGAAATCCTAACATCATTCTGGAAACCCCGTATATCCTCCATTCCACTCAATTCCATGTACAGGACGAGCAAAAACGAGTCGATCTTCGACACATCGACATCTGCTCGGTGGACCCGCCCGGCTGCACTGACATCGACGATGCCCTCCATTGCCGCCCCATTGGCGAAGGGCGGCTGGAGGTGGGCGTCCACATAGCCGACGTGTCGCACTTCATCCGGCCAGGGACGGCTTTAGATTTGGAGGCCGCCTCCAGGGCCACCACCGTCTATTTGGTCAACAAGAGGATCGATATGGTAAGTGGAAAAATATCAGAATTCGAAGATATTCTATTAAAAACCCTCTTGGAAAAAATTTAGTACGCCACTGAGATCAACATTTGTCGAAAATATGTCGAAATTCGGAAATATTTATGAAGTTAGCATACGTCCAAGATTTATCGAAATTATGTTCCAGTGGAAACCCAATTGGAAAAAAATTTGGTACGCCCCCTCTGTGGTCAACATTTGTCGAAAATTTGTCAAAATGTAGGAATATTTCATTTAAACCCCTTATTTAAAATTCACCATAATTATGTTTCATGTGAAACCCACTTGGAAAAAAAATTGGTACGCCCCTGGAGTCTGGTTATGTTGAAAATATGATATTTCTTATCTGAAATCCCGTCAAAAAATGTGATGATACGCCTTTGGAGTCGCAGTTCAAATTCTCTAACCACGTACTTTAGAGATATTTCGTATTCTTCATTTGAAATCCCCTTAGAAAAAAGTTGGTATGCCAATGAAGTCAATGTATGTCGGAAGTCCGACATTTTCTATTCGCAACCCCCTTGGAAAAAAATGTTACCATCAACTTGAAGCTAATTTCGTTTCTGAACACCCTACCCTGTATACTCTTTTCAGCTAATTTCGTTTCTGAACACCCTACCCTGTATACTCTTTTCAAACTCTATACGTTGTTTTGATCTGTTACCCAAGTGCCGCCAAGAACTTAGTGATAAACACAATCTCATAAAACTCGTCCGCCATCTTGAATTTCCATATTTTGACGGAAAAATCATAATCTCCGACCTCATAAATTCGCCATATTGGATCCGCCTCTCGAATTTTCGATTTAAAAAATAGATTACGACTGATTCTCATACCTACCGAATAGGCACAAAAAATTTCATACGAATCGCCATGACTGGGACAGGAGAATTTTATATTGTATAGATTCAACTTTTCCTGATGTTGAAATCACTTGTAGTCAAGTTCTTTCGGCTTTTCAGCCGTTTCAAATGTGATTAGTAAGCTGGATTGATTTCTATAAACGACCGGAGAACTTTCTATATTTGTCAAAACAATTTTCTACATAAGAGGTATTTATTTTCATTGTGTCTGAAGAAGGCTGTAGAGCCGAAACTATAGTCACACACGCTGATTATTTTTATATTAAATATTGTGGTCGACCGACTTCGAGTTCGTCTTTTTTTTTTCTCTATTTGAAAAATACTAGAGCACTTTGAGAATGGATGTTTTCTAGGACTTTGAAAAATCTTGATACTTAATTATTCTGAAACACCCCGTATACCTAGGTTCCCGATCTCCTCAGCTCGAATCTGTGTTCTTTGCGTGGCGGAGAGGAACGTTTCGCTTTCTCCTGTGTATGGGAAATGGACGAAAACGCCAATATATTGAACACGAGGTTCCACAAGAGCATCATCCGGTCCAGGTCTGCGATGACCTACGAAGAGGCTCAGATGACCATCGACGACAAAACCAAAACCGACTCCATAGCAGAGTCCTTGAGGAGTCTCAACAAGTTGGCTAAAATTTTGAAAAAAGGACGTCTCGAAAAAGGGTAATGAGCCATAAGATGGATTTACATTTATTGAATTTGGCACTTCTCAGTTTCATGTCCACGCTGTACCGGATGTACCACTAAGAATGGACGCCGGCTGTATCTCGAAAACTATTTGCCGCACAGGTTTCGGAAAAAAATATTTACGATAAAAGTGGCCAAGAAAAATCTCTGGATATTATTTTCAAGTTTCCAGGACAGCCACTAGAGGGCATAATTGCATTGGCCAACTTGAAAAACGGGTTTTTATGAAAATTTGATATATCAAGACATATCAGGAACACTTTTTCCATGTTCTCGAGTTGATTTCCAATCATTTCGATAAAAAAAAATTGCGCTAGCTCTTTAAGTAAAAGAGGGAGGGGAGGATGAATAGTACTCTGGGAAAACTGTTATTACTACAGTTTGGTGTGACGGAATTAAGCGATCTTGGTCTCATTATGAACGGTTTTTTCAGATCTTCCCGATAAATCACGAATCAAGTCGATTTAAATCCCGTGGTGGCCGCTAGATGGCATCGTTTGAAAAATTAGCCGATTCGCCATTTTTTTTCGAGAATTTCAAATGGAACCATATATTTTTTCTACTATGATATGAAAGTTGAGTAAACAAGAAGGAAAATGGTGAAAACTGCGAGTTGATACCTCTTGAAGAACCGGAGAAATACTCGGAATAATACTAAAATTTAAACTGTTAGCATGTCAAATGCCTCCTCATTCGTTATCGGCATTTTGACAAATAAACAATCCACAATGAACAATGAAAACTTCCAATGGAACAATTATATTTTGACGTTTCTTTCATTCAAATTAGCTATGTCATTACTAAGAGCACAGCTAAGAGTCTCCTTCATTATTGTGAGATATAACAGCAGTTTGTGAAACCAAAATAAATGGATTATTGAAATCATAATTTCATAGATACAGGATATTTCTGATTATGATTATTGAAGTTAGATTCCTGTGGTGAATATTTTCATAATATTATTTCGAGTATTTCACCGGATCTTCAAGAGGTATCAATTTGCGGTTTTCACCATTTTCCTTCTCGTTTGCTCTACTTTTATATTAGAGTAGAATGAATATATGGTTCCATTTGACATTTTTCGAAAAAAAAAAAATGGAAAATTGTCTGATTTTTCAAACGATGCCATCTAGCGGTCACCACAGGATTCAAATCGACTTGATTCGTGATTCATCTGGAAGAATCAAAAAAACCCTTTATAATGAGACCAAGATCGTTGAATTCCGTTACACCAAACTGTAGTAATGAGAGTTTTTTCAAAGTACCACCCTCCCTCTTTTATTTAAAGAGCTAGCGCAATTTTTTTTATCGAAATGATTGAAAATCAACTCGACAACATGAAAAAAGTGTTTTTGATATGTCTTAATATATCAAATTTACATAAAAACCCGTTTATTGAACTGGCCAATGCAATAACGCCCTCTAGGGGCTGTCCTGGAAACTTGAAAATTATTTCCAGAGATTTTTCTTGGCCTCTTTTATCATAAATCTTTTTTTCTGAAACCTGTGTGGCAAATAGTTTCCGAGATACAGCCGGCGTCCTTTCTTAGTGGTACAATGACGATCGATCAAGTCTAAGTCGTTATTTTCATATGTAATACCACAAGTGATACTATTTTGCCGGAAATATTCGGTGATTGTTACGACAGCTTGTTGCCTAGTAATTTCGTGAATGACATTGTTTATCAAAACTTTCTAGCCGTAGGCGAGAAGTTTCGGACCAATGTAATGAGCGAAATTAAAGCAGCAAGCTGAAGTATGTCAATCGACGAATATTTCCAGGAAAAATAGTATCACGAGTTGTATTCAAAAACTTTTCTGCGATATTTTTTTACGAATTTCAATGTACTTAATGAAGTATGAATTTCAAGTAAAATAGAGCTTTTATGCGAATCAAAAAATGAACTAAAAATCTCAGCAAGTGTTCCAAAATTATTATGACATAATAAGGAGCATCAGCTTCTTGAGAAAAAAACATGAGCGGAGGCAATATTTCATTTTTATAAGGATAATAATTGAGTAACTTGAAACAAGTCTCAAAATGTTGATATATCGATAAAAAAATACCAAGTATACGCTATCTTTGTATTCCAAATTGAGTGACACGTAATTTCCAATGACAATATACAGGGGATGCCATTTGAAAATAAAATGTGAGGGGTAGCTGCCAGAGAACTGTCAAATATAATGGATTTTTTTATATGTCATTAGGAAGGTACTTCCATGCCATTCAATGAAGTTGAATTTTTCAACTATCTTGTCAAATAAGCGAGATATGGCGTGTATCGTATACCTTGGGACACCCGGTATATTAATAAAAGTTCACAAACTTCACATTGCGATGAAAACCTCCATATTGGAAACTTCCTCATTCAATGGAATTGTTATCAAAGTTTTATACTTGCAGAGCTTTGGTTTTGGCCTCACCAGAGGTGAAAATCCAAATGGACTCGGAGACAATGGAGCCTCTAGACGTGGAAGTCAAAAAACTCTTTGAAACCAACTCCATGGTGGAGGAATTCATGTTGCTGGCTAACATCAGCGTAGCGCAAAAAATCCTGGAAGATTTCCCGGAATGTGCCATGCTCAGAAGACATCCCACACCACCTACTTCCAATTTCGATCCTCTGGTCAAAGCTGGAAGACATCTTGTAAGTGACAATTTCTTGCTTCCCTTGTCGCCATTCTTATTTACACTAACAAGATGATCCACAACCCACCTCCATGTAAAATGTTGAAGCCAAAATTGGCCTTGACTCGGCAAAATATTGAGTCCATCTATCTGCAAGTAGTTGAACTATCTAAAAATATCCTTGCTGAAGCGGGAAAATCACTCACTCTAATATTCTGAAGGCTTTTAAATGATAAAAATATTTCAATCCGGCTCTGATGCGACGTTCATACCTTCTTGCATAAAAACATCTAAAAATAAACTTCGAATGTATTTTGCGTTACCGATCTCTACCCTTCCCTACTCAACAAAAATGTAGTTCACTTTGTTGCTCATAGATACCGCCATCTAATGAATAGGATTTCTGGCTTCATTGTTTTCATAAGATGGATGCGTTTTTCATTCCGACATTTTGTCGTGCGCATGAACCGAAGAAACCACTAAACTGTTCCAATATTCTGCTGAAATGTTGATGGAAATCCATAAAACTGACAATTGACACATTTTCAGTATTGTTCTTTGTTTTGATTTTATAGAAAACAAAAAATATTGAGGATTTTTGAGATTCTTGAGAGATTTTAGTAGATGGAGTGACTTTATAGAGCATTCTATTTCACTTTGTCAACGCTTGTCTTTATTTTTTGCTCTTTGGACACAAAACATCCGATGATACGTCAGTACCTTGGATATTACCTATTAGAATCCGTTTTTTAGGACTAGGCACTTCGAAGGCGCAAATTCATTAATGCATGGGAGATACCCTTCAGATTTTTAGCTTTTCAGTGGCTTTACATTCCGGAAATGGCAGCCATTTGGATGGCTATTGTCGTCACTCTATTTATATGAAGTCACTCTAGTGTTAATCAATAAAATCGTATCAGTATCTTCTGAATCGGAAGATATATGACAGACTGACACACAACGAAATCCGTTTTTCCATCAATGTGTATTGTGTGTATTCTGTTTCAGCATCGGTTCCATCATAAAATCCATCAGAAAATTGGTGACGTCCAGTGTTGCCAACTTAATGGATTTCACACTAGAACTGATGGTTTGAGTTTTTGCATTGTGACAAAATATGTCATCTAGAGAATGGTGTTTATTTTGCTGAATTTTTTCAAACAAATAGTGAAATCTGGTGGTTGAGGACCCGTATCCACAATGGGGAAGACCACTGAGGAAAGAAATTCGTGCAAACCTCTTTCAATCGACGAAGGATGATTTACATTTTATGCACAATCAATATTATGAGTTGAAGTTGAAGGAAATCGAATCTATATCGTTTTGAAATCAGCACATTTCATTCGATATTTCAAACAGCCAAATATGATGGTGGAGTCGTGACGTATTAGTCCCGAACTGTCTATCTCTCTCTGATATCTCGTCATTCTGCAGTGTTGCAGTATAATTGGTCAGTTCAAGGACAATAGGCGTGTTGGGACTAAGACGTCGCACCAGTCACACCAATGAATTGATGAAATTTCAAATGGCGCAGGAATTGTGTGTTTTGAAATGGATATATACTAATTTATTTTTTTCATCGTCTTAACATGAATGAAAAAATTCAAAATTAATTCACTGGTAGTTTTTCAGTATGGAGTTCACGATAATGTCGTTTTAAAAAATCAGTGGTCTTCCCCATTCTCCTTGTTTTATGAAAAAAATCGAATTTTAACAATGTAAAACTAGAAAAGTTTTTATAGAAATAGTGGTTTCACCTGAATTCACTTTCTATATAAAATGGTTATATCCACATTTTAGCTGTTTGTTGTAGGATATCAAATGTTGTTTTTCTGGTTTCATACGTACATATACGAGTATTGACCTGCTAGACTTCCATTATCTGGTGTAAGCTAGTAATCTAAACTGGAGTGAGAGTTAAAACCACCAGAAAATCACTAGATTTGCAAAAATTCTCGCCTGCGGCGCATTTTTTTTTCGATTCCGTCAGGTTTGGTGATTTTTTGGTGTTTTTCAGTTGGTCATTCTGCGAGTTTTGGAAATCTGAGACGGCAACACTGGTGACGTCACTATAAAAAAGCGCATCTATCAGTGCAGACTTGCTTTGATGGAATGAAACACACACCCATCATCTTGTTAGTGTAAACAATGAAAGCTTGTAGCTACCTCATCAATAATTATCGAATCGAATCTCTTGTAGGGTTTCGACATAAAAATAGAGTCTGGCAAACAGCTGGCTAAATCTCTGGATGATGCCGTGAAGCCTGACAATCCCTACATGAACACCATGTTGCGTATTTTGGCGACGCGCTGCATGTTGCAGGCCGTCTACTTCGCTAGCGGATCGCTACAGAAGGACGAGTACTTCCATTACGGCCTGGCGGTACCTCTGTACACGCATTTCACCTCGCCCATACGGAGATACGCAGACATCATCGTGCACAGGTGCCAAAGAAAGCTCGAATATCTTCAATTCGGCGCCTAATATTCTACTTATTGTACTCTATTTCACTGATTCGTGCTTATACGACGTAATTTATCACGAGTCCATGCTAATCTGTCATTAATAGTGCTTATATGTCATTTATCCGTGCTGATCTGCCATTCATCGTGCTAATATGTCACTTATGCATGCTGATCAGTTATTAATCTTGCTCATATGTCACTTATCCGTGCTGATCTAACATTCATTGTGCTCATATGTCACTTATGCATGCTGATCAGTTATTAATCTTGCCCATATGTCACTTATTCTTACTTAACTGTCACTCATGCATGCTGATCAGTCATTAATCTTGCTCATATGTCACTTATCCGTACTTAACTGTCACTTCTCCGTACTTGACTGTCACTTATTTGTGCTGATCTTTCATTTATCGTGCTCATAATATGTCACTTATGCATGCTGTTTAGTCATATTAATCTTGCTCATATGCCACTTATCCGTACTCAACTGCCACTTATTCGTGCTGATCTATCATTTATCGTGCTCATATGTCACTTATGCATGCTGATTAGTCATTAATATTGCTCATATGTCACTTATCCGTACTTAACTGCCACTTATCCGTGCTGATCTATCATTTATCGTGCTCATATGTCACTTATTCATGCTGATCAGTCATTAATCTTGCTCATATGTCACTTATCCGTGCTGATCTGAAATTCATCGTGCTCATATGTCACTCATGCATGCTGATTAGTCATTGATCTTGCTCATATGCCACTTATCCGTGCTGATCTGTCATTTATCGTGATCATATGTCACTTATGCATGCTGATTAGTCATTAATATTGCTCATATGTCACTTATCCGTACTTAACTGTCACTTATCCGTACTTAACTGCCACTTTTCCGTGCTGATCTATCATTTATCGTGCTCATATGTTACTTATTAATGCTGATCAGTCATTTATCTTGCTCATATGTCTTTTATCCGTACTTAACTATCACTTATTCCTGCCTTCTCATTTATCGTGTTTATATGTCACTTATGCACGCTGATCAGTCATTAACCTTGCTCATATGTCACTTATCTCTACTTAACTGTCACTTATCCGTGCTGTTCTGTCATTTATCGTGCTCATATGTCACTTATGCATGCTGATCAGTCATTAATCTTGCTCATATGTCACTTCTCCGTACTTAACTGTCACTTATCTATGCTGATCTGTCATTTATCGTGCTCATATGTCACTTATGCATGCTGATCAGTCATTGATCTTGCTCGATTGTCACTAATTTGTACTTAACTGTCACTTATTCGTGCTGATCTGTCATTTATTCTTGCTCGTTATGTCATTTCAACTGAAAATTACACTTTACGAACTAATTTCCGAATGAAAAATCGACTATTTTTTGAAGGCAAGTGAACACAGCGGAAGAAAAGAGTTTGCGGACAAAGATTACTTGCCTTCATTGGAAAAGATGTTATTTTTTTTAGAGGTCGACGAAAAAAAATTAATATGCACCTCGGCAAAAAACTGTCTGACGTGTCTGATATAGACGATCCTGCAAATTTATAGCCGAGGTGCAACCGAGGCTAGCAATCAGCAATCAGGCGAAACAACAGATAGTGTTTCGTCCTCCAAGATGAGATTTCCACTTGCTGACAGTTTTGTAATTTTCAAGGTTGTTGGCTGTGACCTGTGGATCGGATTGTACCTATCCTGATCTTCTGGACAAACAAAAAACTGGCAACTTGTGCCAGAACTTGAATTACAGAAATAGGATGGCGCAGTATGCCGGTAGGGCTTCTGTAGCATTCAATACTCATGTGAGTTTTTCTCCATGTGCTCACTCAGAATCATGAAATTTGATAAAATTTTTGTGTATATTTCAGCTATTCTTCAAAGGAAAATTGCAAGACGAAGATGGTTACATTCTCTATGTTAGAAAAAATGCTTTGCAAATTTTGATTCCCAAGTATGGTTTGGAATGTACTTTGTTTTTGGCTCATAAAGGCGAAACTTCAAATATTTTTGAATACAATGAGGAGGTATATAATCATAATATCAATGAATTTCTCATTTTTACAGATCAGATAATTTTACATTTTTTTAGGATCAGACCCAAAAAGCAGGGGATGTTGTTTTGCACTCATTTGATCCTGTGAAAGTGAGATTGAGTCTGAACTCTGACAATATTCAACACGAAAAATTCGTTTTGCAACTGGTTTCTCCTTGCATATCAGGTTTTAGTGTCCCGCCTTTGAGTGAAATCGAAAAAATGGAAGTTGTTGATGATAAAAAGAGGAAGTCAGCTAATGATGGACACAAAAAGAAAAACAAGAAGAGGTCTTAGCTTTTAATATAATGATTACAGTGACAGTTTTTTTTTTATTAAACTATAACTTCTTTTTCAATAAAGTGAATTAAATTCAATGCATTGTTTTTTTCAAATCAATTTTTAACCTCAATAAAGAAAATCATGAATAAGTTTTCCACAAAATTCACACTTTTACAGCTTTGAATCAATCTAATGTATACAAGCAACAGTGAATCCAGCTAATTCAGATGCAATTCCCGATAGAAAATCAAGGTTGGTATAACTGATTATTAAAATTATCATCAGTTCTACTAACCTTCTAGAAAATAGCACGGAAACAAATTGAACACTTCTTAGTGGTTTGTTTTGAAGGATTGACCACAATAATTGCAAATGAAAAACAAATGTGAACCAATGAAACATAAACAGCTTTGATGCATATTTTCATATATCTACTATTTCTACTTATTTTCTATTAGGAATTATGATTAATTTACAGTTCCAGATCTAGTGGAAATTGCATATTCTAGTATAGTGATTCCAAGACAATGTCACAATTACAAAAAAAGATTATTGGAGCTACTTTTTTTATTTCACATGCAGACATCCTATACTTTGAATGATTTTATCCCTCATATTAAAGAAACAGTACAAAAATAAAATTTCCTCAAACCCCTTTTTACTACTTTTGTCTCACATGCTTGACCACACATTTGCCAAATCCACAAGTATACAATGTTCCCTTGTGCCATTTCAGATCTTTCACATGCCCTGGGTGCTTTCCATTTCTATAAATTGTTTCTAAATAACTGGATTTGCAATTCACTATCAACACTTCAGGGGAATCACCACAAACTGCAAATTCTTTTGCATCATTGAAGCCTATTCTGTTGACCTTCCTGTCAAAGCAGTGCAACACTGATATGAAAGACTTGGGCTCACGTTTGTCAAGCAGATAGACATCTCCTGCCAAAGTTCCTACTATGATGTAATTATCATCATATTGGTTCCATGATATGCTCATCAGTGAAGAGAATTCATTGTTGTAGAGCACTTAAAAATATTGAGATGATTATTTCATAATACTAGAATATTTCTTTCTATTAATAGGTACCTGTGCATGGAACAGAGTTTCTCAAGTCCCAAATACAAGCCATTCTATCCACACCACCAGAAATGAACATATTTTTGTTATTTTTCAATGTATCTACACATATCACAGGTTCCAAGTGAATGTTACTGAAAAACACAAATTATAAACAAAAAGTCTTAAGGCCACAATAGGAATACTAACTCAAATTTCTCTACTGGTTTCCTTTCCACACAATCAGCTTCCCAAATTGAAACAGATCTACCAGCACATGCTAAAATTCTATTTGAGTCTTTCCATGTCTCAATTTTTGGAATGTGTTCACCCAGTCTGAGGTAATTTGTTGTTCTAATTTTCCTATCCTCATCTAGTGACAGAATGTTAATATGGCCAGTATCTTCAGCTAATGCTATCTATTGCAAAATCAACACTCGTTATAGGAGTTGAATAGACATAATCAGTAACTTACAGTATTTGTGGTCAGAAATTTTCCATCTGAGGCAGTGGAGTAAATATAATGCCCATTATAATCAAAATCTTCCATGTGTTTATCATCTTGAAAATGAAGCAAAGTGCCTTCCCAAAATGTCCCAGCTACCTCTGAAGACCCGAGGATGCAGTTACCTACAATATGTTAACGATAACATACATATTCTTATAAGTGTACTATGGAGGCCTAATAATCTGTGGTAATAAATACCCCTTTCGTTGAAATCCAGAAAAAACAACGAATCGTACACGACTGGAACAGTGGAAAATTTTTTTCGAGGTTCCATTGGTTTATTCGGTGGAAAAACTACTCCACAAGGTGCTGAAATGTGAGAATCCTGTGACTCCTTTGAGTTCAACATTTTGAAAATCTTCGAAGCGGTTAAGTTAGGTTATGAAAAAGTAGTAGGTTAAAAGTTACAGTTTACACTGCATATTCAATAATTATCATTAAACTGCAATAGAACTTAGCCAGTTTTTTGTTGCTAAGTAAACTTCTGCCAAAAGACACATTGGCCTAGCTACTAAGCACTTTTGGCAAAGACATAAAAAAAAGAAGAAGCAGAAAACATTTCGTTGCACCAGATTTTATTCAAGATGGCTGTTGGATGATAGGTTGCTGTCAGTTATGGCGAACCTTTTGTGATTTTTATGGATACGGCATTCAATTCACCTCCAAACAAGGTAGATCAGAATGAGCAACACACTTATATTATATTATTTAACAGAATTCAATTTAATTTTCTCTTGTTAAAAATATAACTAATTCGTGCATGCGAGTGTAGACTTCTAGGCTAGACACGTATAGTTTCCATGTATTATTTATTACTCGTAAAATTATTTGTATCCTATCCTATAGAAAATAACTATTCAAATTTTTTTGATAAATTCAACTAGGTTTTCTTCAAATGAAAGCACCTTCAGATTTGCCACCAGTGATTTCTTGCACCTGGCCATCAGACATCTTCACCTTGACTTATTAATAATGGTCTAATTATCTTCTTTTTTTAAGTAAATTACCTCGTAAATTACCTTTTGCGATTTAATAATTAAGTCACCACTGAGATCGATTTCTCTTAATAGTGTATTTCAATAACTGTGAAATTGATTTATAACTGGATTGATGTATTAAGTAAACAATAGAAAAACGTGCTACCTACCTATATGACTTTTTGGATAATACAGATTTCTTGAATCCCTATTTCATTCTTTGAATCCATTTATTATTGTTGCTTCTCCATGATATTAGCAGTGATCTATAGGTATATTGGTTTCTAAAACAGATAGGTACTATACAAACACAAACACTATAAAGTGAATTCTATTTTGTCTTCTTGGTTTCCATAAAAAAATTCATGCTATTTCAATTTCAAGACCAGTCTATAACAATTGAAAAAAGTCAATTTTTGTACAAAACAATTTTGGTCAGTATATTTTTCAATGCAGTATAATAAAAAAAACTGTTTAGTTCATTTTGGCCATCCAACATTGATGGTCTCATTTAGCCATTGCAATAGCTATTTTCAAATTAATGTTTTCTTCAAATAGGTAATATGTTATGACACTAGTCTCCTGTAGTTAAATAGAATGGCAGAATGTGTCAATTCAGAACTTCCAAAACAAGACTGCACTAGCCCAAGCCCTACTGAAACTGTTTGTTTGGATTCTTTATGTGCCGAGAATAATCCAGGTAAATACCACTCCCTCTGGAGTATACTGTAGGATTATTTCATACTGTGCCAAGATGGAGAACAATATTTCATTATCATCTCTCTCTTTGAAACATGATATTCCCTTTCTAACAGAAATATTATATGTCTGTTATGTTCTAATAATAAAACACTTGACTTCAGATAATTGCATTTGTAATTAAAATAATGAAGATGTGTTTATGGTCTCATTGAAATTACAATTATTGTGTGAAAAATAAAACAAACAGAAACATGAAGGAGAAATTGCCAGATGTTGTTTATGCTTTTAATTAATAGCAACACATGAATTCATTGAGTACATCATGTTGGTTTTTAATCAAATATTTTTGAAACTTGATAAATATCTGATATAGCTATTTGGAAAACAAAAATGTTTGTTTTATATTTTGATTTAGAGGTCACCAATAAAATATAAATTTCAGGTTAATGCTCTTTCTGTGACATTGAATTCCTATAGAATAAAATCATCAGTCTACTGATCAGGGTATTCCATAATTACAACAAAATTACTTGCATAATTATTGGTATCCAATTTGTGACTTTGAACTATTTTTTTCTGTATTCAATGCAGTGTTTGTGTAACAGTGATATCTTCAAAGACTACATGAAATGCTTCCTCTACACATCTCTTGGCAAGGTATTTTTTTATTCATAATTCCTTGGGGATCCCAGTGAACAAGAGATATTACTAATACCATATTCATTTCACTCAATTAGAGCACTTGATAACACCTTTATCATGAATTTCAATTTAGGTACTTCACAGAATAATCTAAATCAAGTGATATCATTGGATGAAGATGATGATTATGATATTGAAGCAGTAGAAAGGATTGAAAAAAGCAATTTTTTGAATGAACTAGGTCTGATAAAAGACTGTGAGGATGAAGATGATGACAGAGAGGAAAATTGGGAAGACTGTACTGACCAAGACTTTTCTGAAGATTTAGTTGAAACTGTAAGAGTTGGTCCTTACAATATTTATTCATCCTGTTTGAAAATCAATGATTAATCATTTTATTTTTAAGTTTGATGAAGCCAGTAGCAGTGAAGAAATAAGCTACAGCCTTTCTGCAACTCCTAGGAGTTCACAATTGAAGAGGAGTAATTCTGATTCAATTGAGAGAATTTTGGTTAGTATTTTTACCTACTTTTCATGTTAGGTTTCAAAATAACAATCTTTATTTTTTTTGCAAAATCTTTAGCATTATCTTGATTCACTTTGAAATAGTGTGGTGTCTGGTAACATTTTGGTTATAATTGTTCAGCAGATGTTGCAATACTGGTTATCTTTGTGATATCAAAATAAATAGGTGATGAAATTTCTAGACATGTTAATCAGATCAGAATTGTTTTTATTTTAACTGAAAGTATAAACAAGAGAACATGACTTTCAATTCTACTGTCTTTTATCTCTTTTAAACTTTTGAAAAAGTGTTTTCTCAAATGATGAAATTTTTTCATTGAGTTAGTATCACGTCATGTGTTGACTAACATATGATCAATGTCTAATCTTCTCTCTGACATGTTTATGCTCATATCGGCTGATTTCCCCATCATATGCAGAACTGCAAAAAACACCTTTTTTTTAGCGTAAACGCAAGTTAGATGTCAATAATGGATTCCCGTGCAAAAAATTACCTACAGAATCCCCAACGATGTCTACTAATGAAAGCAGCACAAGGTTAGATTTTCATTTGTTTTTTTTATTTATTCATTTATATATTCATTTGTCTGGTTGGTTCATTCGTTAATTTTTTTGTTAATTAACTTCTAACAACATTCTGATATCCTTGATTACAACATAAGAATCAAAAGCCTCTGAATACCTACTTACAAAACAAGTACATTTCTATACCATATTGCTCTACCAGGTGACATCAAACAAAACTCATCTACAGTTCATTTAAGAATGGCGTGAAAATATATTTCTAACAAAACTATTTTTGTTCTGTGAAAGAATTTTTCAATAATAGCCAAACAGCACCTGTATAGTTTTTATCAATGCCAATTTTAATCAATAATAGTTCTCCACACCTTCAATATATATATTTTCTTATTTTAATGCAGTAATTTTGTACAAAACAATGTTCCTATTTGTGACTTACCTTTTGTACTTTGTATCTTTATCAAGGTGAATAAATTTCTATTCTATTCTATTCTTAATGAAAATTCGTCGCGCGGAAAAGTGGAACTTTGCGCACGAAAAAATAAGCGGAAAAGTACAAATTTTTCATCAAAATCTAGCAACAGCAGCGTGTACTCATCGACGGCGTCGTCGCCGTCGTTGTCCGGGGGCGCCACGACGCCCGGCGGCAGACCGCGAGCAATCATCCCCACCAAGGACAACCCGCCGCCTCTGATGGCCGAATGGCTGGCGCGGTTCGTCGCCTGGTCCAACGCCGAAAGATTGATGGCCGTCAACGAACTGATAGCGAGGTGCGAGCCGACGCAAGTGCGGCACATGATGCAGGTGAGGAGTTGAAAAAAAGTTGAATTTTTTCAATTTTTCGAAAAAAAAAATTGCCATTTTTCCAAAGAAAAGAAAATGTTTCGTTAGTAGTGTACCTATACCGGTTTTGGGCCCGCTAGTTAATATTTTCACTACTAGATGGCGCTACGGTCGCTACGAATGACGAGGAATGTGGTGACAGCTGACAAATGACATACTGAAAATGACCGATGACATGGCCAGTGGCCTGTGACATATGACGAGTGACACCCGACAGGTGCAACTACTTATTTCTAGTGACCAGTGAGCTGACATACGAAAAGTTTTTAAGGTTTCTGTCAGATGTCCACAGAATGGTATCCCATCATAAGAAAATTCCACAATTTGTTCATAATCTTCGACTATTCAAAGTTGTCCTAGAGTGAATTGGCAGATATGACAGATTTTTTACATGAAAAAGTAGGCCAACTTGACTCGAGAAAATATTATCAACCCCCTGCCCCTCATGGCCGTATGGCTGGCGAGGTTCGTCGTCTAGTCTAACTCTGAAATAATGATGGCCGTCAACAAGCTGATAGCGAGGTGCGAGCCGACGCAATTCGGCACATGATGCAGGTGAGAAGTTCGAGAAAAGTTGGATTTTTTTCAATTTTTCGAAAAAGTTGCCATTTTGTTCGAAGAAAATAAAATGTTTGGTTAGTAGTGTAGCTATACCGGTTTTGGGTCCGCTAGTTCATACTTTCACTATTTGATGGCGCTACGGTCGCTACTAATGACGAGACAAGTGGTGGCAGCTGACAGATGACTTACTGAAAATGACCGATGACATTGCCAGTGGCATGTGACATATGACGAGTGATACGCGACAGATGGCAACGACATATGACAAGTGACAGATGATGTTCGACGAATATCCAATCTTTTTTCGTCATATTTCTACAGATATGATTCCATCATTTTTCTTCATATCCTTGAATCAAACAGCACTTTACCAAAACTCGTTCGTCTATAGAACGGTGTAGCTGTGAAATTTCTTGTCAATGGAAGTTTTCACAAAAACTTATAACCTTCAAGGGTAAAAAAGCCAATACTGACTTCCTTTCACTATCCTCTCAAGGTATACACGATGTTCTTTGGATATTATAGGAGTTCACTTTCCTGCGTTCCAAGAGATAAAAAATATATACAGAGTAGTTCAAAAGTAATTGTATCAAGAAGCAAATACTTCGAAGTTATTGGACGTAAACTCATGATAGTTTTGAAATTAGTGGTTTTTGGGCTTGAGAAATCATATAATTCTACTTCAATGTATTTTTCAGAGGGCTATTTTTGTGGCATAAACACGCACTTTGTTGTTCAGGTTAGGGTATTGTTCTAGTCTAGTTAGCAGGCGAGAGACATTGTTCATTAAAAAAAAAATCGAGAATCGACCACATTTTCAGTAAGCTAGTGACCTCTATCCTGAACTAAACTCGATGTTTTCAATAAACTAGCGCCATTAGCAGGCAGATTTCGGATTATTTTTATCAAAATGATGTTTCAATATTTTCAAATAAAAATGGCGCTTATCTGAACAACAAGTAAAGTGCGCATTTATGCCACAAAAATGTTTGATGTGGTATCCAAAAACCTCAAGTTAAAGCAAACTATAAATTTTCAATTTCAACTTCCACTCTGTATCTTTCTCGGTAGCATTAATTTTACAAGATAAATCTCATCATTTATTAATTTCATATTGAAATCGATTGTTTACTGCGCATTTTGTCAAACTCAGGTATCATTTTCCTTTGTGTAAGTCGAAATTGTCAATAATTGTTCTTTCAAATAGTAACTCTGAGCTTTCTCCCACGCTCTAGGTGATCGAGCCCCAATTCCAACGCGACTTCATCTCCCTGCTGCCCAAAGAGCTGGCCCTCAACGTGCTGGCCTTCTTGGAGCCGAAGGACCTGCTACGAGCCGCCCAAACTTGCCGCAGCTGGCGGTTCCTGGCCGAGGACAATCTGCTGTGGAAGGACAAGTGCCGGCAGGCGGGCATCGACGAGGTGCCCAGGAAGAGGGGGGCTGCCAGGTCTCCTGGACCGCACATGTCCCCTTGGAAGGTGAGAATTCTTCCTCAGAAAATGCCGAAAATCCGACATTTTACATTTAAAACCCCCTTGGAAAATTATTTGGTACGCCCCTGAGGTCGGTGATTGTAGAAAATCCGACATTTTATATTTGAAAATCCTCTTGAAACAATAATTGGTACGCCACTGAGGTCGGTGAATATCAAAACTCCGACATTTTCCATTCAAACCCCCTTTGGAAAAATATTTGGTACGCCCCTGAGGTCGGTGAATGTTGAAAATCTGCCATTTCACATTTGAAACTCCCTTGAAAAAATATTTAGTACGCCCCTTTGGCCAACATACGTCAAAATCGACATTTTTCATTTAAGCCCCTCTTGATAAAAAATATCTGGAACGCCCCTGAGGTCAACATACGTCGCAATTTCGACATTTATCATTTGAAACCCCCTTGTAAACATATTTAGTGTGTCCCTGAAGTCAACATAACGTCGAAATTGCGAAATTTTTCATTTGAAACCCCTTTGGAAAATATTAGGTATGCCCCTGGGACAGCATACGTCAAAAATTCGACATTTTTCATTTGAAATCCCCTTGAAAAAATATTTGGTACGCCCCTGAAGTCAACGTTATGACGAAACTCGGACATTTTTTCATTTGAAAACCACCTTGAATTTAAGGATATATTTTTCGTTCGAAACCCCCTTGTAAAAATATTTGGTACGCCTCCGAGGTCGGAAAATGCCGAAAATCCGACATTTTACATTTGTAACCCCCTTGAAAAAATATTTGGTACGCCCCTGGAGCCAATATACGTCGAAATTGACAATTTTCAATCAAATCCCTCTTGGAAAAATATTTGATACGCCCCTGGAGTCAACGTATGACGAAAATTCCGAAATTTTTTCATTCAAAAATTTCAGATTTTTTTTGTTTGAAACCCCCTTGGAAAAATATTTGGTACGCTCCTGAGGTTGACGAATATTGGAAATCTGGCATTTTACATTCGAAACTCATGGAGAAATTTTTGATACGCCCCTGGAGCCAACACTTTGAAAATCCGACATTTTTCATCTGAAATCCCCTTGGAAAAATATTTAGTAAAAAATCCGACATTATTCATTTGAAACCCGCTGAAAAAAATTTGGTATGCCCCTGATATCGACATCTGTCGTAATTATTTTTGTAAAATCTTGGAACATAATATGTGATAGAGCAGTGTCGACTTGATTTGAATAGGCTGTAGTGGTAGATTCATCCGATCATGCAGTTCATCATTTTAATTTTTATTTTGTTCTCCAAGGCCGCCTACATGAGACAACATGCCATCGAGATGAACTGGAGATCGAAACCGATCCGACCGCCTAAGGTGCTGAAAGGCCACGACGATCACGTGATCACGTGTCTCCAGTTTTGCGGCAACCGCATCGTCAGCGGCTCCGATGACAACACTCTCAAAGTGTGGTCAGCAACCACAGGAAAGGTAAAATAAAATGTTTCACTTCTTAGACTATAGAATAATAGATGAACACTGTGATTCATTCATCAAACCATCAAAAAGTAAACCCTAACAGTCCTAAAAGCCGAACGCTGATGAATGAATAACATCGCGAATGGTGGGGATAATAACAGGTACTTGTTGAACATTTGCGGGTAACTATTCCGACTGAACAACAATAGACACCGGTATGTTTTTCAATTGGTTTTTGTGTTTTTTAGTGTTTGAGGACGCTGGTGGGACATACAGGTGGCGTGTGGTCTTCTCAAATGTCCGGCAGTACCATAATCAGCGGTAGCACCGATAGAACTTTGAAGGTTTGGGACGCTGATACCGGTGTGTGCATTCATACTCTCTACGGACATACGTCGACGGTCAGATGTATGCATTTACATGGGAAAAAGTAAGTGAAATTGACCATTTTTTTAGCTTAATGCAGACAAATAAATTCGAGAGAAACGCCCAGGAGAAGTGACAATAGGATAACAACAACACAGAGTTGAATTTCTATTGTCCCCTCTGATTGGAAATATTCACAACGGATAGATTTACAAGAATATAAAAATGACTGAGCAATAGGTAACAAAGTTGAATCAAGCCTAAAAATCTAATGAAATCAATTATTTTATTTGATATCTTATGATTACCCTCTTTTTTCACATTACGTGAATTTTCAAATGTATACACATCATTCAACATTCGACAACATCAAACAACAGAAATTCTCCCGATCTCAGACAAAGCTGGCGGCATTTCGATGTGTTGTTGGTGCTTGATTCAATGATAACATGCTGGGGACGTTCCGTCAATTCAAATATATTATGTCAAGTTTACCGAGAATTTTCGGAACCATTATAGTGTCCCTTCTCAATATGATATTGATTTTATCAGAGCAATAATCGAGAACGCATTGAATAAAATTCATGCTATGTATACACATCGCAGTGTTAGTAGGGCTCACCTGGATTGAGACTAACCCCTCTCCCCCACTTTTGACGATCACCAAGTGACTCGGCTAACCTATCAGAGACCGCCATACAGTTTGAAGCCCCGCCTCCACTCGAATAGCGGGAAATTCGAATGTCAGATAATTCTAACGTGTATGAATCAATTATTGTTTGTTTAAATAAAGAAGTGCGATCTATCGGAGACTGGAACCTTTAGCACTTTGATCACTACACTTTTTAACCATTACCCAAACCGATTTTTTGAACGCTTCAACACGTGTTTCGCTAAATATGTTAGCATCTTCAGGAAATTGAACTCGGTTTGGTTAGGCTGAGTTCAGAAATTGAAAAGTGTCTAGACTTTTGACACAGTGTTCACCGTTCCGTTCGTTAAATGATTAGGTGTAAGTGTAGAGTGCACTATTCAACGTTCTGAATAGAAAGATAGGTGCGATTAGTGTTTACGCTTTTTGCTCCTCAGTTTTCGTCTGTGGATATTGGAACACCAAAAATTCCAACCCCAAATTTTATTAACAAGAATCATTTGAAGTTTAAACCAAAGAAAATTATCAAAGTGCCCATTATCATTTCCTGCGAATATACTAAAAATATGCATTATTCCTTTATAAAAGCTACAGGAGATCCAGAAGTAAATGAAAATGATGAATGTTATATTATCCCAGTTATCACAAGTATACAAATGTGAAAAATTCGTTATCTTGTTCAGTGAACAGCTAATTGTTTTTCTGTAGATTGTTATTCAACTTGGATGAAAATACAATTAAGCAAATGAAAGAAGGTACAACATAATTTTATTCACAATGTTAGTAGATATCATATGAGGTCAAGGTGATTCACATCACTATAGAATATACATCACCTGTAACTTTCAACATTCGGTAAATGCCACATGGAGATAGCAGTTTTCTACAACTTATGTTTCTGGATGTCCTATTCTTGAAGCTTTTTACATACTTTGCGTGTATGCCGTGTATTGATAAATCTGTGTTTCGTTGAACAATCCATCATTTGATGAAGATCCATCAGTTGCTGAGTTCAGCAAGGAAGTGAATTTGTATTTACCATATTCACAAAATAATTTGACATCCGATGTTCGTTGTTGTTTGTCAGAGCAAATGACACCAAGAGATCACGTGAATTTCACACTACCCTAAACAACACCACATCATCTCGCCTGACACCGTGATTTCCGAACTCACCTTTAGTAGTAAAACGGTGTAGTGTGAGTAGCTCGATGCTTTGGAGTGTTGAACGATAGTGGTATCGATTCGCTTACTACCCCTTCGTGATGTTTCTCTTGTAGGGTGGTAAGCGGCTCTAGGGACGCCACTTTGCGGGTGTGGGACATAGAAACGGGCAATTTTCTGCACGTGCTGGTGGGCCATCTGGCGGCGGTGCGTTGCGTGCAATACGACGGCAGGCTGGTCGTGTCCGGCGCTTACGATTACATGGTCAAAGTGTGGAATCCGGAGACTGAAGAGTGCCTGCATACCTTGCAGGGGCACACCAATAGGGTTTATTCTTTGCAGGTAAGAGGGGAGATGCCTCCGGAAGAATTTTATCTATTCATATACGTCGGCGCCGTTAGATTTAAATTATCGTTATTAGAAAGAAACGACTGTATCTCTTGCTATTTGCAGTAGTTTTAGTTAACGTAAACTGTATTTAATGGTCGTGTTGGAGACCACTTATGATATACCATATGTTTAGTGCACCTAATATTTCCAAGAATATCAAGTTGAGTGAAACGGGGTCGGTGGTGAGGAACAAAAAAATGAGGAGCATTCGATAACGGGCAGACAGAATACGAACACCGGCCTCGAATTGCTTGTTCTTCTGTCACTTCAATTTTGAATACAATTCCTATCAAAGTAGCTTGTACGCTTGTAGTGATTGGTGTTGGTATCTTGTAGTTGTCATGCGACTCAACGGGTTGAAAAAGAAGATAAAAATCATGTGGAACACTGATTGTTTTCGAAAATTGTCCACAACTCGAAAGAAAATCAACATAGTGAATTGGAAAAACAAGTGTTGCTAAATATTTCATACAAAAATCAACAGATACGGATGAAAAATATAATTACTCAGAGGTGATTTTTTTCTTCCTTCCTAACGTATTTTTCAAGTTATAATGATTTAGTGGTAAAACTTTCATTAAGTCCGAGATGAAAGCGCTATTATCAACTAATTCGAAATTTGGTCCTATGATTACTTAGTAAAAGGTTTGAAATCTTCGTCGAGTTCCTTTTTTGTTGAGCTCCGAATTTTTTTGATAACAAATTCTAAATGAGGACATCTTCCGCTAAGGAATCAAACTACGTTATGTATGCTAAATTTTATTCGGAATCCAAGATAGTAGCCTGTTGGGTAATTGAACAAATATTTCAAAGGTAGTATCCTCAGATATTTTCCATCATGTTTTCAATTTAAGGAATCGATTTTAAACACCTATGATGAAAACTAATTTGCTTCTACTAGTAGATAATAAAAAAAATTGTAATCATATATTCCCTCTATCTATAAAACTATCAGTTTCAATGATAAAATCGAAAATTAACAAATAATATTTGTAAAACTAGTGCTAGTAGTGCCATAATGAATGTATAAACTATGGTACAGAAGAATATTTTCGTTCCGCTTACTTATTTGCCTCGATGCTGAAGCATCTCTAGAACTAATTGACCTCTTTTTAGGAAAATATCTCCTGTACCTTGGTATACAATCAGAATTTCTTTCAGTTTGACGGTGTTCATGTCGTGAGCGGTTCCTTAGACACCAGCATCCGAGTATGGGAAGTAGAAACTGGCGCTTGCAAGCACACCTTGATGGGCCACCAATCGCTCACCTCGGGCATGGAACTGAGGAACAACATCCTGGTGTCTGGCAACGCCGATTCCACCGTCAAAGTGTGGGACATCGTCACCGGCCAGTGTCTGCAGACACTTTCAGGTAAGAAAAAGTCTCCCTGGGTCGCGTTAAAACACTTTTCTAATCGTGTTTCGGAAATATTTGGAATTTTGTTCGTAGTAGTGTAACTAAGGGGGTTCTAGACCAAGGCGAGGTCAGTGGGCGGAGCCTAAGAGAATAATCTAGTCTATTGGCCAGAAAAAATTATCTGCATACATTAAAAATCGGATATCTTTTCAGGACCCTACAAGCACCATTCTGCTGTGACTTGCCTTCAGTTCAACGGACGCTTTGTGATAACCTCCTCGGATGACGGCACCGTCAAATTGTGGGACGTAAAGACTGGCGAATTCGTGCGCAACCTCGTCGCATTGGACAGCGGCGGCGCAGGTGGGGTGGTGTGGAGGATAAGGGCGAACGATACCAAACTGGTAAGTGCAATTTATCCTACTGCTGCCACCACAAAATTCGATCCCACACGAAAAACGAACCGGAAGGATTTTAGCGAAATTACTATTATTACATATTACATATTTTGTATTTTTACTATAATTGCTGTATTTCAATCATAGTTGCAAGACTCTAGTTCCAAGAGTTTTCTTATAATAGGGCCCTCATTAGTAGGTGAATCTTTAGGAATACTACTGAATCCTACAATTAATCCTATTGCAATCAAAATCTTGCATGAGTTTATTTGCCAGATTGATTTTGTCAACAATCAAACTTTGCAATTATTCAAATTGAGAGAATCATCTTTCGATCTAAATTTCTAACGTGAAAAAATGAGTTTCCTGTGAAAACACGAGGAATAAACTTACCTATCTACCAATTTCGCATCGTTTTCAGGTGTGTGCTGTCGGCAGTCGCAACGGTACTGAAGAAACGAAATTGTTGGTGTTAGATTTCGACATCGATCTGAATGTGACTTCGATCGTGTCTAGATAAATTTTTTCAAAGACTCAAAAAATTTGGTGTATGGGTGTGAGCGTGAGTGTTGTGCGGCCACTATCGTCGCCATCAAATTACCAGCGATGATGTTCGTTGCCTTAGAATATTTTTCAATTTCGTCCGCCAAATTCCTTAGCTTGACCCTTCCATCGGTTTTAAAATGGTGTTTCAGGACCTACGATTTTATTGGACCAGTGAAACAGTTGAAAAGGTCTTCAATAGAATTTGAAAAATAATAAGGAAACATTTATCGATTATGCTCTTTCATTTAATTATTTTGAAGAAGAATTGAATTTGAGATCTTTGTTATATAGTGTGTCCAATAATGTCATCATTCATGGATGCATTTTCTCTATAGAATTTGGCTCTGGAACATCAATTTCTGGTAGTTTTTGGGCACTGACGTGGCTCCTTTTAGTTATAATTTTCGTTGGAGTCCTTTTAAAACCTAATCTGGTGCTGTTTATTTTGTTCGGAACTCCCTCGTGACCGTTTTTGAGTACAAATTCGATAGTTTGAAGGAGCAGTTTTCGCCTGAACAACAATTTTTGCAATGTGCACAGGGCGATCAATTTTTTATTGTTTTCGACCTGAGCACCAACCTTCTGTGATGTATTTAGCCTATCCTGCGAAATAATACTCTGAGAAATCATATTTATCTTAATTTTCACAATATTGTTGTAGAATTTGATGAGTTATTCAATTTATTGATCTATTGTAATAACAACCTATTGAATTTTTTTCCTACTATTTATGGTGGCTCATCAACTATTTTGATATTTTCATTTACAATCAATTTGATTTTTTTGAATTCTTTGATTAATTGGAACAGGTAAAATTGTTTTTGAAAATTGCTAGTAATTATATTTTTCTATGTTATTATTATGAATCTCTGTTCCTAAGGTCAATTAGTTTATTATTTAATTATTGATTATGCACCAGAGAGACTGATAAGTATGTTTTAAGTTCTATGGTATAATAGGATGATAACTTTTTACCACCTAAGTTTTTATTAAAAAAAAAGATGATTACATCACTTTGTTGAAATCACCAGTACAGTTGATCGATTTTTTCAAATGATGAATTGATATGCAAATGCCATTGTTGTCCTAATACTCCAAGATCGAAAAGTTGTGGCAAGTTTTGGCGTTTTTTTGAAAAGTTTGTTTTCTGTTAAAATTTTGGGAAATTTCCATTCGATCCGCTAATATCGATTATCTTCAAAGTTTCATAAATTGAAGAGGGGTGAATGTTGATATCTAATGTTTGCAAGTCTCATTCCTTCATTCTATACATAAAGTTTCTAAATTCATTTCAAAACTATGATTTTTAATGTTAAATTTGTTTAAAATATGACAAAATCCCCATTTTATGTTCTTGAATACGGTGGTTGAACGTTCTGCCTGTCTGACCAATGTATCCACGGTTTATTTACAAGACGAACTTTTTACCATTTCACTCAACGGTCAACTAACAGGTAGGCCAAAAGAAGTCATCCATGCGATAAAAAAATAGCATCAACTGGTTTTCCTATGTAAACAATACAGTGGGAGGTTGATTACACTAGGTAAAAATGGCCAATCTGGCGGGACAATAAAGTGACGTTCAAAAGTGATGCATGATATATTTCCAATTTCATTTCAAGACATCATTTTGTTGGCCCCTTAAATTTCCATATGATTCAATATTCTCGAGATCAATAGCAGTACGTTTCGAAATTTCCCAAAATTTCGTCTCATTCTTGACAGCATATCTTTTCTGTATTGTTAGGAAACAGTGTGGTTCCAGCTCAATAATCTTGTCATAGCTCAACGTAATAATTGTACATAGTCGTTTATACATATTAAAGTGTCATTACATCACATCCAGTGAATAATTTGTAGAATTTCTAGGCATTTTAGTTTTTTACCCCGTTCCCCCCCAAATCATAATGTTCATCGCCCATGCCATTGCCACCACGATGATCATGATGATATCGAAAATAATAATGATTAGTGATCATCAGTACAAGTCGATACACATTTTATAGGTAGCCATATTTTTAAAATGTAGTAGATAATCAAAATGTAAAGAAAGCTTAGTTATTTTTTCTACCTCCTTATTATATAAACGGAACGTCGTGTGTAATTTTTCGCGAGATTTGCAGGGTACTCATCGTTACTCCAAGTAGGAATTTTTGGTTACTACTCGGTAAATTTTGCTTTTTACAAAAAAATTTCAAACTTCTGTGGTGTTTTCGGAAATGTTCTGAATTCATTGCAGTGGAGGAGTATCTTGGTTTTCTCTGGGAGCCAAAATTTATTTTCAATGAAACAAAATAGGCTAGCAAAAATGTACATTTTGGTGATTTTATTTTGTAATAATTTTGAAAGTCTGGTGTTGTTAATGTTATGATTTCAACTGTATTTGTTGTATTTATTTTATTAAACATTTAACTATTCCTGAATAGCAGTTTTATTCAAACGCATCAATACTAAACATCATTTTTATTGATCACTTTAAACCATGTATTGTGGCAAATCCAACTCTAAAAACTGTATAAAATACCTGTAACTCCAACAAGTTTTGGAACTTAAATACTAATTAATAATATTTCATCAAGAACAAAAATACAAAACTAGAAAATATTTTGTTTTCTTTTCTTTTGGATAGGTCAGAATTATTCATATTTCGTCAAATCGAAGGAGAGTACTTGGCTTATCAGGCAATCAGCAGGCTGAAATATATAAATTTTTCGTAAATATTTTTTCCACATCAAAAATTAATATACGCCGAAGAAATTTCGTTTTTTTTATTTTTCACCTCTTCATTCCAAGAATTTTCAAATTCCAACTTACGATTTCAGATCCTCTCACAAAAATAATAAGTACGCCCGTGCAATTACTACCCAAATTTTTGAATCAAAATCGGAACAATATAGATAGAAAATATAAGATATTTTAGGATTCCAAGGACATAGGGGTCGCAAAAAGTTGATCAGAATTATTATGAAACATGCATATTTTTCTGAAGAAATTCTGAATTCTTCTTATCCATCATTCAAAGTTCCATAAATTGAAGAGGGGTGAATGTCGTCACATTGGTTGATATCTAATGTTTCCAAGTCTCATTCCTTCATTCTATACATATAAAGTTTTTGAATTAATTTGAAAACTATGATTTTTAATGTTAAATTTGTTTAAAATATGAAGAAATCTCAATTTTATGTTCTTGAATGCGGTGGTTGAACGTTCTGCCTGTCTGACCAATGTATCCACAGTTTATTTACAAGGCAAACTTTCTACCATTTCACTTAACGATCGGGAAAAGCTAATCAGAATTATTATGAAACATGCAGATTTTTTTCGAAGAAAAATTAAAAAAAAAAGAAAGTGAGGGATTAAGAAAATCAAAAATAATCAATTTGAAATCATTCCAGGGGATGTGTATGACTTCAGAGACGTTCATATTTATTTCTAACTGGGTTCATGATGAAAATAAAAGAACATTGAAGAGGGGGTTGAAAAGATTTAGACAGAAATATGAAACATGCTCACTTTTTTTTGAAGGGGTAACATTTTAAAGCAAAAAATAGAAAATGAGATGCCCACAACATTAAAAGCGAGAAATTTGAAATCACTTCAGGTACCTATTTTGAGGGAGGCAAAAATGAAATTAATGAATTCCTTATACATTATTCAAAATAAAATCTAATTCACGGCTTCAGAAAATTTAAGAAAGGGGGTAAAAAACACAAAAGTGGGATATGCCCTTCTCTTCCTAAGAAATAGAGAATTTAAAAAAAAGGAATATGGAAGGACGGAAAAACTAAAAGCAGGAAATTTTAATCAACATCAGGGATTCAACAATTTTTTCTGTGGGGGATCAAAATATTGAAAAAAAAGCTTTGAAATCCCTTCCACGTCATTCGGGTTTGAATGGAATTTACGGCTTCCAGGGCGTACTTTCTTCTTTTGAGGTGGTTCTTGACCAAAAAGTCAGAAAATTTAAGAAGGGGGGACCGACAAAAACTTGTGAGAAATGAAATATGCCTTTTTTATTAAGAGGTTTGAAATGCAAAAAAGTGCAGGAATATAAAGATAAAAATAAAAGTTGGAAATTTGAAATATCTTGAGACGTGCGGACGTACATATACAGGGTGATTAACGGTGGATGGCACATTAGACGTTACTGGAGAATGCAACTCAGGATTATTCTGAAAAGTTGGTGCCTTGGATCATTAGTTGTGTTCTATCGACCTGAAATATTCTCAGCGTTGCGACGTTGCCGCTTATATTGAAAAGTAGCAACAACTTCGAATTTTTCAATGGAACACCCTGTATATCATTTCATTTTCAGATTCTCCCTCAGTCAAAAATCTTAATTCTGAACCACCCTGTATTTATTTCCCTTAAATATCAATGAAAAGTTGAGATAGGGAAATGAAATGAATAGTTTCCACACAAAAAATTCTTAAAGTTGAAAAATTTCGATTTTTCACACCCTATATCTATGTTATCATTCCCGCTAGACCCCAAGTGTGATGAATCGATGGAATCAGCTCTGCAGGGAGAATCTGGAAATGGAATGATATACAGGGTAATGGAATGATATACAGGGTATTCCATTGAAAAAATCAAAGTTGTTGCTACTTTTCAATATAAGCGGCAACGTCGCAACGCTGAGAATATTTTAGGTCGATAGAACACAACTAATTATCCAAGGCACCAACTCTTCAAAATAATCCTGAGTTGCGTTCTCCAGACACGTCTAATGAGCCATCCACCGTGAATCACCTGTATACAACGGCAGAGATTCGAAAGCACCAATTTTTTCCTTCTGGAATCACAAAGAAACCCGAAAAAAAAAAACCGCTCACCTTAATCTCCGGACAAATCCCGATCAGCGCATCAGCATGCGAATAAAACTCCTCCTTCAACGAAATCACAATGGTCTGTAGCGATTCGGTCTTCTCTCGAATATATTTGGCCACCTTGCCGATATTCGTATTGTCTAAGGCAGCGTCCACCTCGTCCAGAACGAAAAACGGGGCCGGCTGGTAGCTGTGTATGGCGAAGAGGAGCGCCAGGGCTGCGACGGTTTTCTCGCCACCCGATAGATTCGACATGGGCTGGAAACGTTTGCCGGGCGCCACGCAATTGTAGTTTATGCCTGGAACGGTGAACGGGAACATTATGGGAGATTCCAGAACATTATGGAACGTTATAGAGCATTATAGAACATTCTGGAAGATTTTCGAATCTCCTGGAAAATTGTATAACATTCAGGACCATTTTTGAGCATTCTCATGAATTCTGGAACATTCTGTATAATTTTTGGGCCTTCTGGAAGATTAGGGACGAATCTAAAACACTTTGAAATAGTCTAGACTAGTCTAGAGCATTATTGATCATTCTCAAACATTTTGTTTCAGAACATTCTGGAACATTTTAGAGCATACTTGCCAGTGGCGGCTCGTGACTTTCGTGACAGAGGAGGCTGAATGATATGAGATTTATTGTGAAAAACAACTCTCTACGACTCACCCAAATCAATAGCTTTAATGACATTCTGTTTACCAGTTAACCTGAACTCAACACTCGAAGAGATGTGTTCCTGTGATTTGCAGTGTCTATCCAATCCGCGAGGCAAATTTTTCAAATCATTATATCCTAATCGCCCCCAACATGATGACTTATCGGTTGAAAATAATACGCAGTACCGACAAAATAGCTTATTCCTTACCTCAGATCCCGTCAGCCAGATATATTTTTTATAATTATCAGAATTGAACAAACGATTTTGTTTGCTACCTGTTGCAATCAGATTTTTTAATTCCGGTGTCGGACGTTTTTTTTTCACAATCAATTTATCTTCATAAGTCAAAGCACTGAATGGGTTCACCAAAAAGGATTCCACTAAATCGCAATCGTTTAAAACACTCATTTTTCAGAAATTTATAGAGCCCCTAACCATTAACCTAACATAAACATAAACAATGCACTCGCGCTGGATTGTCCGCAATTCGCGACACGACAAACACGTGCTATTCGGGCATTTGCATTGCGCGCGTGGGTTGCGCGATGTGAAGGAGTCTAGCCTCCTATAGATGTTGCCAAGTTGAATATTTTACGCGTGATTTGCAGACTTCAACGTGTGATGCGTGGGCAAGCACTGTTGCCAATTCAAAAATATTAACCTACAGACAGGAAATAAAATCAAAATCCATGTATTTTGGTGTCCTTTTAATGAGAAAGTATAGATAATATCAGTTTGAGGAGAATTTCTGAGGAGGCACAGCCTCCGTTGTCTCCTCTGAGGAGCCGCCACTGATAACATTATGGGCCTTTCATGAGCATTTTCAAACTTCCTGGAACATTTTAGAAACTTCTTGCATCTCTGACAAGATTCTATAACATTCATTCTAAACACTTTTTGAGAATTCTGGAGCAGTTGAGGAGATTCTGAAATACTTTGGAACATTCTGGAGCATTATAGAACATTCCTGAATCTCCTGGAAGATTTTATAACACACTGGGCTCTTTTTAAGCATTCTCAAATATTCTGCAACGTTTTAGAACATTCTTGTACCATTTGAAAGATTCTTCAACATTCCTAAACATTCTGGAACACTCTCAGAACTCCAAAAAATTTTAGAACATTCTCGAGCATCATGGAACGTTCTGGACCATTTTGTAGAATTCTGAAATATTCTAGAACCATCTCAAACCATCAGGAAAATTTGATAACATTCTCAGACTCACTCATTTTAGAGCACTTTTAGTCCCTTTTTGAGTATACTAAAACATCCTGCAATATTTTAGATAATTCTCAAACCTCCTAGGATATTTAAACATGTCCCAACAAGACTTGAAAAAAATATCAGTACCAAAAAATTCAAGAAAGAACCTAAAAAAAATTTTTTCGTCTGAATTTTGTCATGTCATCCATATAGAGATCATAATATAACATATCAATTATTTTAATCATTCATTCACTCAAACAAGGATCAGCTCAAACTCTGAGAATTACTAGAATAATTTTTATACCTATACCTACTACATTTTAAATGTAATGTAATACATTATGGTTTATTTTTTAATGTTTCCTGTTATAAACATATTCCTCAATTGTTTCTTGGGAATAATAAAGATGATGATGATGATGAAATAACAATCCTGGGCACTTTTTGACTGTTCCCAGATAAAACATTCCTGAATCTCCAGGAAGATAAAAACATTTTACAGCATAGTTTCACGTGTACAGATATTGTTGTGTTGATTTTCTAAATAAAATTCATCATTTTCATCATAATTATGGTAATTATTACGGAAAGAAACCTGCAAATTGATAATGAAAATGTCCACTGTCCATCAAAATAACATTTCATTATATTCATCATTATAATTTTTATTGAAAAAAAAACCTGCATATTAATAATAGAAATTCCTCACCGTCCAAATAGGGCTCCTCAGGGTTTTCAGCCCCCAAGAAAGCCTGTGCAGACTGATTTTGCGCCAAAGCCTTATAGATGTTATCAATCTCATTTGACACGTGATCAAAACATCTAGTGAACCTCTCATACCTGCAAAAAAAATCGAATTCAAAAATGATAACAACAATAAATTAAACAATTCCATTCGTGATTGACTTACTTGGAGTTGAAAAAATAAATTTTTCAATTCAAAGTAAATCAAGCACAACATATAGGTAATTCTTTCACTCAAATATCATTTGTTTTTGTATTGTAGACTTTTCACTTAGGCTGAAAATGATCTTTTATAAGGCCGAAACATGTCCCTTATGTTTCAGACCAGACCAGAGGCTTTTCTCTTTCTTACCGTTGCTGCTTTATTCTCTCGAAGGCCGCCTTGGCCTTCTTGTTCTGTTTGCGCAGGCTCTCGAACTCCTCGTTGGTGGACTGCAGCTTGCCGCAGGCCAGCTGCAGCTTCTCGATGGCCTTCATGTTGGGCGCCTGGATCTTGGTGAGGGTGTCTTGCAGGTGCTGGATGGACTTGTGCATCTTGTCGCCCATCCGCTTGATCTCGTCCTTCTCCTCGAGGTCCTTGTGATTGTCGGACAGGCTGCTGTAGTCGATCTTGATCCTTCACATAGAAAATGAGCTTTTATACAACGCATTTTTGCAGATTAGCTTTTATAAATGTGCACTGAAGAGAAGATATTGTGGAAATATCCGACAACTGAAGCCAATTTCCAATATAATCGGAACATAAGCACTATACTCATCCGCCATTTTGTTTGAAGCCTTCATCTTGAAATTCTCACTTTCGATAGAAGAATCATGATCTCCGACCCAGAAAACCCCCAGATACCAATTTTGAATAGGATCTGATCATAATTGAAAAACTCGTTCGCCATATTGGATCCACCATCTTGAATGTCCCTATTTTCACGAAAGAATCAAAATCTCCGACCCCGAGAACACCCAGATACGAATATTGAATAGAATCTGATCATAATTACAAAACTCCTTCGCCATCTTGAATTTCCCAATTTTGACGAGATGATAATAAATCCTGACCCAGAAAACCCCCAAATACCAATTTTGAATAGGATCTGATCATAATTAGAAAAGTCTTTCGCCGTATTGGATCCTCCATCTTGAATTTTCCAATTTTGACGAAAGAATCATAATCTCCGACCCAGAAAACCCCCAAATACAAAATTTGAACAGAATCTGATCATAATTACAAAACTCGTTCGCCATACTGGATCCGCCATCTTGAATGTCCCAATCTGGAAATTCTCAATTTTGATGGAAGAATCATAGAGTCCGACCCAGAAAATCCAGAAACACCAATTTTGAATAGAATCTGATCATAAATTAGAAAACTCGTTCGCGATATTGGATCCACCACCTTGAATCTCCCAATTTTGACGAGAGAATCATAATATCCCACCCCAAAAACACCCAGATTCAAATTTTTTTATAGAATCTGGTCATAATTATAACAAAACCCGTCTGCCATATTGAAGCCGCCATCTTGAATTCTCCAATTTTGACAAAATAATCTTTTTCAGCGTTCTCAAACATATTAAAATATTATGTAAAATTTTCAAACCTTCACAAAGATTCGATGAAATTCTGGAATATTATAGAACATTCTCGGACTTCCTGAAAAATTTAAGAACACTATCGAGCATCACAGAACATTCTTGAACATTCTGGACTATTGTATAGTATTCTGGGACGTCCTGGAACCTTCTATAAGATTTTTCAACATTCTACAGCATTTTTGAATATTCTAGAACCTTCTAAAACTTTCAGGAAGATTCAATGACATTTTGGAACATTCTGGTCTATTTTAGAACATTTAAACATATTTTAAAAACAATTTGTGGAGGTATTCTGAAATTTCCTGGAAAATAAATGAATGAAAACTACTCTCGTTTGATGGTAGAATTGAGTTACCTAGCTTCCTTTTCGTATTGCTGAACGGTGCTGTTGGTATCACCGCCCGAAGAAGATTGAGAAGGATCAGCAGCTGAAATGTCCTCCATGTTACCCACAATCATTGGTATTGCAACATCGTCCATCTGAAAAATATATGAATAAGTGAAGTTATTGAAACAAGAAAAGTGATTTGTTGTTTATTTCTTCCGCTGAATGTTAAAATTCGATACCTTGCACTGCATCAGCAACGTATGCCTTTCGCTCTTCTTGCTCTCGATCTTCCCCTCCAAGGACATGACCGCCTTCTGGGCGGCCTGCACGTCCTTCGCCACCGTCCCCACCTCCCGCCTCGCCTTCCCCACCTCCTCCTCAGCCGCCTCCACCTCCTGTTTCTTGTGCAGCCGCGTCGCCTTCAACTGTTCCACCTGCTGCGCGTCCTTGTCGATCTCGTCCCGTTGTTTCGCCTCCTGCTTTTTGCACGTCTCTAGTTTTTCCTCTTCGTCGTTCACGGTGCGCTCCCAACGGCTCACATTGTCTGAAAAGAAATAAATATTAAGCATTCACGCGATTTGTCTATACGATATTCTGTTAGGCTCCGCCCACCGGCCTTGCGTAAGCTCCACCCACTGCCCTCGCGTAGGCTCCACCCACTGGACTTCTGTAGGCTCCACCCACTGACTTTGCGTATGCTCCGCCCACTAGCCTTGCGGAGACTCCGCCTACTGTAGGGTTCATGCAAATGAATTCAGAATATCAATTAACAATATTGTTAACTGCAAGATTGGTTATAACATTGTCTGAAAAGAAATAATTTCTCAGCATTCACGCGATATGTCTATACGATATTCTGTTAGGCTCCGCCCACCGGCCTTGCGTAAGCTCCACCCACTGCTCTCGCGTAGGCTCCAGTCACTGGTCTTCCGTAGGCTCCACCCACTGGCCTTGCGTAGGCTATGCCTACTGTAGGGTTCATGCAAATGAATTTTTAATATTCGGACAGATTGTTTTCAGATCTTGCTATTGCATTGCTCAATTAACAATATTGTAGCTGCAAGATTGGTTATAACCTCAAGTGATAGCAATATTGTTGACAAATTACAGATTTTTTTACTCGTTTGTTGAGGCCACTTTCCCACTTACTCCTCCGCCCCCTCAACTTCCTGTTTCTTGTGCAGCCGCGTCGCCTTCAACTGTTCCACCTGTTGCGCTTCCTTGTCTATTCCTTCGCGTTGTTTCGCCTCCTGCGGTTTGCAGGTCACTAGTTTTCCTCTTCGTCGTTCACAGTGCGCTTTCAAGGGCTCACATTGTCAAAAAAAAAGTATTACGAGAGAAGTTAACGTTCACGCGATTTGGCTAAGCAATATTATGTTAGGCTCCACCCATTGATACTCTGTTAGGCTCCACCCATTGATACTCTGTTAGGCTCCACCCACTGATCTCGCGTAGGCCCCGCCCACTGGTATTGCGTAAGTGCTGCCCACTGGTATTGCGTAAGCGCTGCCCACTGGTGTGTTGTGTTCGATAGTGTCATGTTTACTTTCTGAATTGGATACTGACTTGACGTAAGCTCCGCCCCCTGGCATTGACGTATTCTCCACCAGTTGGCTCAGTGGTGTCCTTGATTATTTACACCAACAAGATGATCCACCTGCAAATGAAATGTTGAAGCCAAATTTGGCCTCAGGTCTTGGCTGGTTGGCTTGGCCCCGATACATTCTTTCTTGCATGAAAACATTTAGAAATGAACTCCCAATATTATTACCGATCTCTACCCTTCGCTACTCAACAAAAACTAGTTACCTTGTCGCTCATAGATACCGCCTACTTACTGAAAAGAATTTCTGGCTTTATTGCTCTCATGAGGATAGTTCATCTTGTTAGTGTAAGTAATAAAGGCTTTGACGCAGGCTCCCGTTGGCCAGTGATGTAGAGAAATTGATAAAGTACTGCTGTGAGTGGTGATCACGTGATATATTCAAGTTATTGACATTAGCATCGAATTTCAGTATAGGATGACCATGCTTTATGCTAGATTTGAATAACATTTCACAGCCGGCGAAAAAATATTCATCAGTTCCTTACTTTGCGTGTCTCTGCTCCTCTCGAAGTCCAAATTACTGGAAATTCTGTTGATCTGCTTTTCATACTCCAATCTTTTCTTCTTCCTCTCCTCTTGGGCTCGCAGTTCTCTGTCTTCGTACTGTCTGATATTCTTCACGCCGATTTCTCTGCAGAAATCGGAAAACACCACGTCCTCCACGCTGTTCATCTTCAGTTTGATCTCTTCAATCTGCTGCTCTCGGGTCTGCATGCTCTTTTCTATGGTCTCCAATTGGGGCCCGTACTTTTTCATTTCTTCGTCGAGGTGAGCCAGCTCTCTGTCCACGATGCTGATTTGTTTTGTCTGGAAAAATTTTCAGAGTGTTGCTCGGAACTTTCGTGTTTTTTTTTTGGTTGCTTACCGTGCTCTCCATATCGGTTTTGGCGTACCGCAATCTGGTCTCCAAGCCACGGATTTGAGAATCGACAGTGTTCAGCTCCGATTCTTTGCGGGACTTTTTCATAGATTCTCGCAGTTCCTCAGTGAGTTTTTCCTGAAAGAAACAAGAGGCATCGAAAACTATGTCAACTAAATCTTTTCAGAATCTGCCGTCAATATTTTGTATCGATACCACGAATAGAAGCTGTTTTCAAAGGGTTCTTAAATTGTTCATACCGAAACGGTTGAAATCATCAGTATAAGCGTTTTGGAACCACATGTGATCTTCTTATCGCCGCCCCGTGGCAGAAGTGAGTGATTAGACTGAGTTTAATTTTGATTCCTTCTTAATAAGGAGTGTTTGAAGGAAGTATCGAATTTTGTTAATCTTCATCAACAATAATCCAGAACCTACAAAACATCTTTGGGATGAACTCCTTGTCAGGGACTCTTCAAAAGTTACAATTCGCCCTTCGAGGATGATTTGAGGCAATTCCTCAAGACTGCTTGCAGTTGAATGTTTCAATTGAAGCTCGAGGAAGACATACTCGTTATTGACTACATCTAGGAGGTTTGTTTTGTTGTTTTTACGTAATTAAGATGATATTAAAAACAGCCCAAACATTATACAGTTAAAAAATAAAGTGAAGAAATATATTCTGATGCAAAGTAATGATCAAAGCTGAGACTTTTCGTTCGATTTTAAAGTGCTTAAATCAACACGGTAATTTTCAAACGGCTAGACATTTACCGCGAGTAAAAACTGACATCAACATAGTACACTTGCCATATGTTGAAATACGATTGGAACTTCAGAAATATTAGTTATTCAATAATCCATAACTTCTTCAAATTGGTTTATTTGGCCAGTGAGTGTGTTGTTAGAACCATTCTTGTACTTTTCGGGCCTTCAACGATATTCTGTTAGGCTCCGCCCACCGGCCTTGCGTAAGCTCCACCCACTGCCCTCGCGTAGGCTCCGCCTTCTGGACTTCCGTAGGCTCCACCTACTGGCCTTGCGTATGCTCCGCCCAATCAACAATAATGACACGGTAATTTTCAAGGCTAGAAATTTACCGCGAGTAAAAATTGACGTCACGATTTCGTAAGCAGGGATAGACCATAGCGCAGTTGCCATTTATGTTGAAATACGATTGGAACTTCAGAAATATTAGTTATTTAATGATCCGTCAATTCTCAATTTTGTATTGTTTGTATTCCAAATTGGACATAAAAAATCAATTGACTCAAAATATTCCCTCGTCTGTTGTGGCTTATTGCTTAAATACATTTGTGTCAATGATATTATTATATTAATTCACACTAGCGGACATTTGACATTGTTGCCAAGTTTGTTATGGAGTAAGAGATATTTGGACATGCTGGTTGCTCGAAGAATTCACGAATGAATATTATGTATTATCTCGTGTTTTATTCAACGACAGGACTGTGAGTGTGTATTGTTGGAATGATTCTTGTACCTTTTGGGCCTTCAACTGAGCCATGTGTTTCTCGTCCCACCGTTTCGCCTTCCTAGCCAGATCCAAGCTGCCCCCGGAAATTATCCCGGACTTTTGGTAGTAGGTTCCATCTAAAGCGACGGCGTCCAATCGGCCTCCCAGCTCGTAAGCCACCTTAATGATAATGATGATATTACGTTTATTAATTGTTCTCCAAAAATACATAACAAATAGAACATTGTAGGTTTATCATTCTCAACTAAACTATAGGCCATTCACCTCATTTTATTTTATTCAACTCCTACGTGAGATCTCGCTTAGCGTATGGTTCACTGATTTGGTCCCCTATATATTCGACTCATAAACAAAACCTCGAATCTGTACAGAGATCATTTATGAAGTACCTTGTTTACAAAATCGATGGGCAGAGGCGGACTGGGGGGCCGGGCGGTCGGGCGATCGCCCGATGGGCTGGGGCCCTTTGGGGCCGGTAGAAATAGTGAATGAATAAATAAATATATGTCTTCTCAACAGCTTTCTCAAGTATGAGACCATTATATCTGCAATTTTGATTAGTGAAATCTTCAATTTCACCACTCCTCTTTCGAGCTAACTACGAATATCAGGTTCCAATGGATATTTTGGAAGCATACCGAATCGTCGGAAAAACCATGAATTCCTTGAAAAAATATCACGAGAATATGATGTCATTTTGATTGATACACATAAATTCATTGATAAAGCAAATTAGTTTTTTGATGAGAAAGGTACCGTGATGATGAAGCACCTCAAAATCCCATCAAGAAATTCAAAATTGAGACTTTTAATGTAATCATTGATAATATTATCACCGCACTAGAATTTAGATTCAATAAACATAAAGAATTGTTTCATGATTTTGAACTATTTGATCCGTCAAGATTCACAGATGATCAAATAATATTGACTGAAAACTCAATAAAGATGATTTATGAAAATATCAAAAATTATTATCCTTCTGATGAAATAAACCTTGATAGATTTTACCTCGAAGTGGGAAGACTGTTGATTACTTTATCAGAAGATATGATGGGTGGAGGAACTTATGTCTTTGATGTAGAAGAGGAATTGATTTCATCAAAACACAAGTTTCGCAAAACATTTTCATATGTTCCTTCCATAATTTGCACAAATAAAATTTGTACGTTGAGGTATATCCATATCCAGATAAAATTATTATCACTCTTTCAGTATCGCAGGTTTCATGTAAAAAATCTTTCTCAAAATTTAAATTTATTTTGATTAAGCTAAGAAATTATCTGAGCCAAGAACATTTGGGGGCTTTTATCATGATGAGCTGCGAAAAAACGATTTTACAATCAATAGGAAGCGACGATATAATTTTCGATTTCTTTGAGAAATGTGGATCCATGAGAGGTTCACTCGTTCTGTGATTTCGATATCTAATGCGGCTTATGTTTTATTTTGGATGAATAATTTTCCTAGTCTTTTTGTAGCTTCAATATTATTTACAAAGTTCCTTATATTCCTCCACCTTAATATTATCGTTTATTCTATCTATTCTTATTTTTCATTAATAAAATGTTATTCATGTTATTGATTTCATTTTCCTTCAGTATATTTGATGTTATATCGACAAACTTTCTCGCTTAAGTTTGATTAGAATCAAAATTATTTGTAACGTTTTTCTTTCGTTTTTGTCCATGTCACTGAAATATGTAATGAAATTATATGAATAGCTATATTAGCTTTGGAATTTTCTCCGGAGATGGGCCGGTAGGGTTCAATTCGCCCGGGCCGATTCAAAGGTCCAGTCCGCCCCTGTCGATGGGGTATATCCTGAGCAGGGTATAAATAACTCTATATTATTGAATCGATTTTCACTCCTCTCGCTGAAAGACCGAAGAAATTATAACTCGTGCGTATTCACTTATAAGCTTACACATTATCTTGTACCTCGTATGAGCAACAGAAACGAATTATGTTTTTATCTTAGAACACCAAGAACAAACACGGACAATAAACGGCTTGGTTTTTTTTAATGAGGCGAATAAAGTATAAGTGCCACGTACAGTGTCTTTCAGAAAGTTTGAATCAAAATTATGATCCGATGCTGAGGAAAATTGGTATCTGAGGGTTCCGTCAAAATTGGTGAATTCAAGATGGCGGATCCAATATGGCAGACGAGTTTTGTAATTATGATCCGATTCTATTGAAAATTGGTATTTAGGGGTTTTCGGGGTCGGAGATTAGGATTCCTTCGTCAAAATTAGGAAATACAAGATGGCGGATCAAATATGGCCGACGTTTTGTAATTATGATCCGATTCTATATAAAAATTGTATCTGAGAGTTTCTGGCATCGAAGAATATGATTCTTTCGTCAAAATTTGTAAATTCAAGATGGCGGATCCAATAAGGCAGACGAGTTTTGTAATTACGATTCGATTCCATTGAAAATTGGTATCTGGGGGTTTTCGGGGTCGTAGATTATGATTTCTACGTCGAAATTAGGAAATTCAACATGGCGATTCCAATTATGATCCGATTCTATTTAAAATTAGTATCTGGGGAAGCTTTGTAATGAATAGTAGTTTGAAAAACTTATGAAACACGCTTTCATAGATAGCCAAACTGAAAAGAAGAAGAGAATAAATAGTAGCTCAAAAAACTAAGGTAGATTGCTGAAATAAAAAAGATTTCTACCTCTTGGTACAGTAATAAGTCTAGAATGAAGAAAACTCAAGTTATGAATATCAGTTCTGAAAGAGAATTGTTTTGTCATAATTTACCTTCATGGCATCCTCGGGGGATTCACACACTAGCGCGTTGTTGGTAGCGAACATAACGGCTTTAGCGATGGCGGGCGGATCGAATTGCAGTACGTCGTAGATTAGCTTGACGCCCTAGATTCGAAACACATTTAGTATCAGCAAAGATAATACAAACCCTAGATAGGCACCGTAAATGTAAGAATGGGCAAGATAATTTTGAATCTAGTTGCTCCCTGTATATTTCTCAATTGACTTGGTAATGAGTTGTACAGAATGATTGAGGTATGAAAAATTGATTGTTCACCAATATTTGACTTATACATATTTCTGGTTCGCACCAGATAGCACCGTTGCTGCCGTACTTATTTATTTGGCGCAGTCGGTAGGATAGCCGAAATCACCGCGAATCGATCGAAGTGATTTACGTTTCCATGATTAATCGGTTATCGAACTTCAACATCGGAAAAATTTGTGCTGGAAGAAGTTAGAAGCAGAGCAATTCTAGTCTTGTTTGAGGTTGTTTATCGAAAAAGTTTTTATTGTATTTTTGTTAGCTTAAAATACGGAAGATGTTAGCGAACATGACGGCTCTCGCGAAAGATTCAAATTACGACCACAGGGGGGCTGAAAATATAAAAAATACCCAAATATCTCGCCAAAAAATCGATTTACCTTGGGATCAGTGATATTCCTGAGCCTTTCCTTCACCGGCTTGGTCTGCAGATAGTCGAGCGGCAGAAACGTTTCGGGTTCGAGCATCTGCTCCTTCAGGTACTTGATGCACTGTCTGCCGGTGTGTTCCGTATCGACGACGATGGCGTCCATGTACTTACCGAGATTTTTGGTGATGGCAACGTTGTAACGCTTGTGGATCGGATGGCACATGTTGATCATGCGGTCGTACTGAACGAGATAAAGGAAGGCATGAATTATAGGGGGACCAAGTCGTTATTTTTCTGAGCTTCATATCCTAAATCCTTACCACTCCCGGATAGTTGCTCTTGAACCGTTCGACGATCTCCTGCTTCTTCCTCCTTCGGGCGTCCTCGTGCTTGTCCGTTCTGGCGTCCCCCAATTGTTCGCCGACGTCCTCCAGCTGCCTCTGGATCTCGTGCACCCGGTCTTTCGAGGAACCGACGTCCGATTGGAGGTCTTGGCGCATCTGTTTTTGGTCTTGCAGCGCCTGCTCGCTCGTCCTGAAGCCAATTTCGGTGTATGTTGAGTTACTGATTTCCCCGTCCATTTTCAAAATGCCAGGAGTAAGAAATGTCAGACGATGACCTTGAAATCCGCCAATAGCAGCCGTAAGCGAAACCGTAGTTTTTATAGGCTCCGCCCACCGCTCGAGCACCAAACGGAAGCCAGCGATTGGTCGCTTGCTTCACGATCTGTTTAATATTTGAGTAGATAACCCAAAATCCAAGAAAATGGTGTATTTTTGCTTTGATTACATCTCCCAGTCAATTAGAATTCAAATGTGATAGAATTTGGCAATTATAGCAGAATTTTTACCAAAAAATAAGCTAAAAGCTGGGTCGATCATACGAGAGGGATCACGTACTTTAGTTCAATAATAATTAATTTACAGTATTTTACTGAATCGTGAAAAAAAAACTGTGATTAGCCCAACTGTATAATACCTACCTATATAATATACACTATGATACACTACCAAATCTTATAGAAAATGTATAATCTGAAAACAACGAGAATCTGGAAATCAGAGGCGTACATTATACGGCGTGTCTGACTTTGAACTGTACTCCCCACTGCTAAACCTCATCGTAACGTCAGACGATGACCTTGAAATCCACCAATAGCTACGGTGGGCGAAATCAGAACTTTTCTAGGCTCCGCCCACCACTCGAGCTCCAAACGGAAGTCAGCGATTGGTCGCTTGCTTAGCGTTTTGTTTAATAGAGAGTGCGGAAAAGTATTACTTTGCGCACGCAAATGAGTGCGAAAAAGTACCTACTACTTTGCGCACGCTCGCAGGAAAATTCATTATCAGTCTCATTTGCCCATCTACCTGATGTGTTCTGCCAACTTGTCAATTCTCTTTTCCATCTCCTCTTTCTCGTGCATTTTTTGACGGTGCTTATTTTCGGCGTCCGTCCTGTTTCTGGACACATTGTCCAGACGATCCTGATCAGATTTTTGTTCTCTATTGACCGAGTCCAATTCTTGCATGTAACGAGCCGATCTCTTGGCTGCCTCTTCCTTCAACCTATGGTACTCTCTCACCTTCAAGAAGAAGAGTGAAGATTCAATTTTTTCAGTATGTTTCTTTCTTTGTTCGATTTTATTTTTCTTTCATATTGGATACTTTAGAAATGCGACGATTTACGGAAAAATTCCGATGAATATGTATCTGTTTTGGAGGTACATGATGTTGAAGTTTTTTTTTCATACAATATATTTTATTAAGATTTACAATGAAATAAGATGAATAATCAGACAGATTCATATCTGGTATGAGATTATTCATGCATTATTAAATCTAAGTTATTGAAATAAACAACAGATTCAAAAATAATAACAATAATAAAACAAGAAGTCCATGAAAAGTACATTATGACATGATGAAATAAATTAGTGAATGATAAATAATTCACTCAGGTTTAATTTTCTCTTTGCGAGAGGATATGTTTCTTGACTTTAATTTTGAATTGGGTGATATTTATGCAACTTTTGATATCATCAGGTAATATATTGAATTTTGAGATAGCTCCGTGAGTAATCTATTTATGGCCAAGTTTAGAATTAGCAGCATCAAGTTGAAACAAGTCATATTGTCTAGTATACAGATATTTTGTTAGAATTATTCTTGGAACATGAACCCCAAATATTTATGAGATAGTTTATTTTACTAAGGATGTGAGAGTATAGAAAGGTATTTGCTATATTTGGGATAAGTTCTGGACATCTTCTTAGGGCACCAACTATGGGAAAAACTTTTTCTTTGAGCATGCCAATATGCTTTTCCCATTTAAGGTATTTGGTATAGGCAGTTTGTTTTAATCTTTCATTCTTGAATGTATCAATTGATATTAGTTGTTTTATTACCCCCCTGTATAAGCTGCCATGATGCCAAAATTCGGTCTAGTTAGTGACTGATAGTAACGAATTTTCAGAATGTTGCTTATTGAAATTAAGGAATGATCTCAATGGGTGTCTTGATTAAAATAAAATTTTTATTATTTCCTCAAAAACTAGGCCAGATACAATAGTAGGTCTCACAGAAATAAGACAGTTTTATTCCCAAATGTTTATACTAATAAAAATCTGATACTCTGTTTGAAAACCAGTGGCGTACAATAATATTCACCATAAGGTAACCCACTGGAATGCAACTGATATTATTATTCCAAATCTGTGTATGCATAAAAAAAAGTGCATTGTTACTGTTAACAAAATCACAAAAGTTCCTTGAAATTGACTTGAAAAGACTTTCCAGTAATTAATTAAAAACGATTTTTCACGAAAAATATAATACCCTGTATATAAAAAATGGGAAAAGTTAGAACAAATGCTCATTTTTTCTAGAATCACCCCCAAATATTTTGCACTTATTCATCCACACCCTGTATTCTGTATAGGGTGTTTCAGATGAAAGTGAACAGTTATTACTATTTCCAATGGAACCAGAAGTGGGGAAAAATCTTTCATATGTCCAAAAGTGACGTTTTTTGAGTATACAGAGTGCCAAACAAATATGTGGCCAAACTTCAAAGGATGATTTTCTGAGTGATTCTGAGATGAAAATTTCTCATAAATGCATAGTTTTCAAAATATAGGTTGACAAAATCAGTTTTTCTTGAATATTGTGAAAGTCCATCAACCAATTCTGTTGAAATTTGCCAGTGTTATTTGTGTATGGGCCTAATTTAGTTATGGTTATTATTAGATTCACCAAAAATCAATGGAATAATGATAATAATGTTCTTGAAATTGCAATTTAGATGTCCCTGTTTTTTTTTCCAAACACCCTGTATAAATTATTCTAAATTTCATTTGATGATCTCAGAACTGTAAGAAAAAATATCAGGGTGTGAAATATGACAAATAAAACACATGAAACCAAAACCTAATACAGTCAGTTTATTATTCATAATAAAATCCTACCTGGGCATCTTCCAAATGGACATCTTTTCCCTGACTTTGAGATTCCCCAGCAATTTTACTCTCATACTCCTCTCTTTTCTTCTCAACACTGGCCAATTCATCTTCCAATTTTTTTATGTCATTCATATGAGCCTCATGAGCTTTTCTTGCTTGCTCCAGAGTTTTTGTAGCTCCATCCAGCTTCTTTTGCATGTGGGACACCCTCTCTTTAGCCTATTTTGCCCCCAATGAAATGCACAAATTAGCAACAAAAAATAAGAGTCAGATGATGTGGTTTACCTTGATGAATTGTGGTTTCTTTTTTCCAATTTCAACCTCAACTTCTCTAATGTCTTGTTCAATTTTAGCCAACTCTCTGTTGTATTTCCCATGTTCCTTTTTCTTTTCCTTGAGAGTCTCTTCCAGCTTCTCTTTCTTCTTTTCAATCTTGTCCACTTCCTTCTGTTTAGACCTCATTTCTTGCTCTAGATTCTTCATTAGGCGTTCATTGTGGAACAGTCTAAACAATTGTAGGTCCACCAGTTTATCATTCTAAAATTCAAACATGAAAACTCAGGAAATTTTTGTGATAAAAATAGTTTACCAAGTCATCTTTGAGTTTGGCATACTTGTCAGCTTCTTCCTTCTCAAGCCTAGCTTCCTTTTTCTCAGCATTTATGCCTTTCTTCTTCTGAAGGGCAAAATTGATTTCTTCTTGTGCCTTTTGCATTTCTTGTTGGAGTCTCATATATTCTTCTTTCAAAGCACCAGAACTGAGGACAATCTCATTCAAGTTCATAGGATGGACTGAGATAAGAGATAGATACTTACCCACTGATTTCTTCAAAAAGTGCTGTCATTTCCTTTGGATTTTTCATAGCTACAGACTCAACTGCACCTTGGAATACTAAAAAATTCTTAGCTTTCACATTTATCTTCAGTTTTTCCAACTCTGACAGATACTCATTGGAGGATACTACCTGAAAAATTAATTTTAAAATCAAATCCCCATGATAAATTCAAGTCAAGAACTTCCACTTTGTACCTAAGAATTGTAGCATCAAAACTTCAAAATTTTAGGTATTTTATCTATGTGCAAGCCTAAACGTCACTATATTCTCAACAAATGATGTTCTGATATGCACAATCTAATCAGGAATCCACACTTCCTAGTACTTACATTTCCATTTATTCTATACTCTGAAGATGATCCTTGAACAGAACGCTGAAAAGATATCTCCTTTCCATCATCAAGCAAGAAAACGGCAGTAACTGAGGCACTAGGAACGTAAACAAAACAGTTAAGTGAAAAATCTATAGAACTAGATGGTAGTACCTTCTGGAAACTGGTCTGCTAATTGCAGCACCATGGATCAAATCACTCAGCCTCTTGACTCTCAAACTCTGGGTACGCTCACCCATGACGAAGCTGATTGCGTCCATGAAATTAGATTTGCCTGAAAGTTCATTATTTGCTGGCGTTGCTTGTTACTGAAAGGGATTGTTAGGTGTTTTCATTTACCTGAGCCATTGGGGCCGATTACAGCATTGAACGGCTTGAGCGGTCCAATCACTTTGTGTCCTCTGTAAGACTTGAAGTTCTCAACTTCGATATGTTTCAATCTCGCTGCCATCGCGTATGTTTCGTTTATCGAAACACTATTCTAGTATTTTTATTATTATTTACCAGTTTCAAACAAATTTAGAGGGAAGAAAATGAAAACAAAAAAGCATCAGTGACAAGAATGACAGTTGGCACTGTTGACAGCATGACAGCACAGACAGAACACAAAATCCTAGAACCATGCATGTTTAGTTGGCATGTTCAACGACAGATGGCGATACCGTTGAAGAATGAATATTGAAAATATACTGCTCCACAAAAGTTAGGGCAATTTTCAATAAGATATTCTAAGACCAATTTGAAATTAGACTGTCATGAAACTCATTGAGTTCATTCGCAATCTTCCTATTTCATGTCCAAAATAAAGAAAATACACTAGTCAGAAGTACTACTTCCTTCACAGAGTGTAGATTCTTTGCACGTAAGATAGTTTCTGGTACAAGCAGATATGTAGAAATGTAGAGCTATTATCTCATGGTAGAGAGCCGAAGAAGTAAACCGGAATAGAATATAGCAAGAAGTAGCGATCGTGTGTGCTCCCGGCGGGTAACTGTATTGATTGCCTGTGCGCAGTGGGCCTGCACACCATTGTTGCCACTTTTTCACAATTTTTCTTACAACTATGACATTTACTGGAAAAATCATGGTAAACTATCCAAACAAATGTCCACTCTTCAGAGATATTTTGTTCAAAAACAACCATATTCTACTCCCCAGCATCTAAACGTAAAAACAATAACAGAGTCTTCCAGTTTTAACTTCTCTATAACGTTTTTGATTCCACTGGAACTGTTATATTCTTTCCATATTTCGAAATAAATTCATCAACTATTTCTCACTTCCATCTATACATATCTTCCTGATTTTGTGAGAATTCTATCAGTACACAATCAAAGACGTTTTGATATCCTTTTGACCTCTTGAGGAGGATAATGCACTGATGCGATATCGAGAGCCATCACTTGTTACAACTTTTTACATGTAAATGACGTCTCAGAACATCTCAAAATGATATACTCCAGCGAGATATCTCAAAGACGTCTCAGAAAATTTCTGAGGACGTTCTGAATGATGCACTCTACTTATTTCTACATGCATATGAAGTGAGAATATCCTTCCTCAATCTATTATAGGATCGACCTGAAGAAGGATGTCCCTAGCTTCGCATAAGGAGATATAGATACCCATGCTAATGCTGTCTTCAATAAGTCTCTCTAATTTATTAATTCAGGGCATTAGAGGATTGAAAATTGCATTAGGATGAAGAAAATAGGACGTCCTCTTTCGAGGCCATTGGCGACATTTTAAGATTGTTCTTGTGTGCTTTGTGGGAATCCTTCGCCAGACAGATATATTTTCCCACAGCAGAGTACTTTAGCTCTTAGACATTTGGCAACGCCATCGCACCTCGCCTTCCCTACCGTAGGACCACATATAGAGACGAACAGATACAGCAGAGCTGGGGAAAAGAGCGAGACACCGAGAACGACGCCCGCCAGACGCCGGGCGTCGCGTGCGCACCCTCCCTTTCGGACTAGCGCCTGCAGAGAGAGCGCAAGAAATAAAGCGCGTGGTGGGGGAACGTATATGTATTGTAATTCAGATTAGTTGATTTAAATTTTGAATTGACTCGGCCGTTACTTGATGGAAATCCATGGCAAATGTGAAAACTGCACAAAGAATGAGATTATTTCATATTGTACCAGTATTTCACCTGTTGAAGCTACTCTATGTTAGCGAAACATATCGTATGATTCAGAAATTTGTGGAAATCTCATCGTTTGTGAAGTTTTTACATTTGAATTACAAATGATGATATCCGAATTTCAATAATGACGCTTTCTAAATTGAAAAATCTGATTTACGAATTGCATCGAAGTTATCGGAATTTCCCTTGAAGAATCTGAATTGAAATTGATATTATCTGAATTTCAATTAGGTAATCTGAATTACAATTGACACTTTCTAATTTTCATTCGAGAAATCAAGGTGTATAGTCGCTTCTAATGCGATGCAACGTTCCCCCACCACCCGCTTCATTACTTGCGTTCTGTCTGCAGACACTAGTCCCTTTTGGCCGGGCCGCCGCCACAGCACAGACCGAGAGTGCGTGCGCCTCAGATCAGAAAGGCTGAGACCGCCCACAGACCGACAGACACCCGGTGCAGCTAGCACGACGACGCTCGACGAGGTGGTGCTGCCGCTAGCCGGAGTTAGCTAGGGGCCGAGAGTGTGTAGTTGAGTGTGCGGGGTGGAAGATAGTGCGGCGAGAGGGCAGCTTCCTACCGATTAGGAGGTGCATAGACCGCCGAAAGAGAGGTGAGTCTAGAGCACAGAAGAAGAGCGAAATCTATACATACTTCTTGTTTTTCATAAAATGATGTATGGAACGCAAGAAAGTAGCTATTCTGTCTTGAAAGCATGAACCGTTTTTCATCAGAGAGGAGTGTGGCAAGGCTGAATAACCTTCAATTATTATACCATAAAATAACACTTATTGCATCTCTCAAATTACAAATCATCAAGATCTAATGGAGCGTGATACAAATTATATTAATATTATCATCTGTATGAGCTGTGTTCATTTATGGATGTAGTGTTATGACCTGAAAATGTTATAGTCAGACTTCAGACCAACGGTCAGACATTCCAGAAGGGGTTGACCACTAAACTATGTCAACTAGTTTGTGGTTTGAAATGACCAGATATTAGAGTCACTGGATGGTATTAGACAGAGATCACTGCTATACTGTCTCTGGCGGATACTCCTTATCAGAGTTTTATTCTCCATATTTCTTTGTAAAGGAAAATGAAGACTTCCACTCTATTAGCATAAGCATTTACCAGAAAGAAGCTTAATTTTACATATTCATTTAAACTCAACTGAGTTTTAACCCACAACGAATTTGCCCAAATTTTCGTCCCAAAACGCGATGTGTACTCACCTTTACCAAGAATGACACAATGAACTTGTTCAAACAATCTCCCACTGATGGTTTCAGCCAGATTTGGAGAATGTTCAGAATGAAAATAAGAGAATATCGAAAAAAATGTCAATTTATTCACAATTATACTGACCAATCTGATCATACAATTCAAATATACAAATCAATTTCACAGAAATTTACAACAAAACAGAAGAATCTGACATCACAGTAGCTGTATGAGTATTTTATTAAACCTCTTGAAATTGTTTATTGGTCTCCTAAATTGTATAAATTTTGACCTTTTGGTGTACTGCTAGAAATAGCATAAGCTGTTTTCTTCACTTGATTGAACATATTCCTGATACTAGCTTGAGAATCAATTTTTTCCAGAAGAATCTCATGGGATTGTTGGGAAGATTTCTTGTTCTAGAATTCGAAAAAATAGAGGATACTTATAGCAGTCAAACGGTAACTTCGCACTTATCATGTGATCCATATATTCCAGATTTCTTTCAATAACGTATTGTGGTTAGATAAAGATGAATTTTATGATTTCAAGTTCAAAATGGTCAACTCTTTTGGAATATTTTTTAGGTAAACTTCAGTGACCTTGGTTTGTTATTGTTTCCGTTTCCGCAAACGCTACTTATAAACAAAGAAGAAGACGACAAAATGGCCGGTATCAGGTATCACATTATTAACATCATTATCTAATTCAAGTTTCCTGGACCAAGATACGTTGGTTACATATAAGTACTTATAATTTTTCAAGAAAATACCAATGCCATGATAAGAGCAAAATAACCCAACAAAAAACATGAAACTTCCAAGTCTCAAGTGGACTCACTTTTGTTGTTGTATGTTCTTCAGGCATGTTACTTTGAATGATGGAGGAGCTGATATCTCCTGAAGGCAGGTCTCTGAAAGAGTGGTCTTGTTTTCCAACAAAAATTTGCTGGGCCTGACCATCACTACTATAAATAGTGGATAAGGTACCATCTCCTATGTTTTCTCTGTTAATATCGAAATTCACGTCATTTTGATCATTACCTGGAAAATACTAGTCTGGTTGAGTTCATTACGTAAGTTGATTGGTATTTCTACAGTGGACCTTGTCAACCATTTTTATCTATATTTTGATTATGAGATGTTAGTAATTCTCCAGATTTGAGGTTAGACAATTAACTTAAAAGCATCAAAACAAGTGTCTATGGTTGGAATTTGTTTCATGGTTTGAATTTCTATTTCTCTCTTCTCCTGTAATCTGGCCTATTTATACAACAAAAAGGAGAGAAGAATATCCTGACACGATTCTGAGATTTTGAATAATATACACTCATTACTGTACTGTAGTTTTTACTAATATAACAACAAAAAGAAAGCACATTTTCTGGAAATGCGAAATTTGACGGGAAAAGAGTGCCAGTTTGCCATAAAAAATGAACAATGTTTACAACGTGGATTGCATTACATTTTTTCCAGATAGATTCCTTCAACAATGCTGGTATCTCCTGTATGTCTCCTATCTCAAAGAATTATAATAATAATAATGAATAAGTGACAGTGTTCGTGACTTTCAAGGTCATCAGATCATAACCAATAATTAATAACTTCAGACTTCAGATGATCATTGAGTTTTGAAATATCCTGCATAATGCAATAATTATTGTCACATACATTTCCTTTTTTTCCCTTATCATGAATCCATTGTTTCTTGGGATAATAACAGTGATACACCAATCCCTATATATATAACCTCACAAATATGCTTGCTGTCATTACTGTCAAGAAACTGTCATCATTATTCTCGGCCGTCAGAGGTCGTTATAGATGACATTCCATCTGACGGCAATAACACCTCTGAGCGGGTAAACAGGCCTCTTTGACAGCTTTCAAGAACTCCGATAGGTGGCGTACGCTTATTTTCGCGAATTAAAAAATAGGGGCTGTTTCCCGGTAATTTCTATTGTCGTCACATCATCTTATGACCTTGACCACCGCGAATACTGGTACTGGGGTGAAACAAATGGGTAAAATCATAGTAACTTTTCAATTTATGATAAAGGAACTGTTATAATGGATAATGAGTCATTTAATGCACTTTCAGATGTTCAAAATTACCTGCATTTTCATGTTCATTATTCATCGGCATCCCCTGAAACATGTTATTCTGCAATTCTAACAGTTGTTCATTGACAACCTCTTGCAGATGAGTCATTTCATTCCTGATCTCGTTGATTTGCCGATCTCTCAGCGCTAGTACCGCGACGTATTTTTCTTTTTCCAAAGCAGAAAGTTTCAGCTGATGCTTCAACTTGGTGCATTCAGTTTCAAAGTTGGATTTTTCAGTTTTAAGGGTGGAAAGTCGGGATTTAAGATCGTCCACGGCTTGCTTTTGCCGATTTTCTTGTTCAGTGGAAAGATGGCGGAGATCTGAGTCGAGTTTACGTTTTTCTTCTTCTAGGATTTTGATCCTAGGATGCAAAATTTCATTCTGGAAAAACATCGGAAGTAGAAAAAAAAATCTGCTTTCCACTAGACCAGAACCATGACTACTAGAATAGCAGAAAATCTAAGCAAATAAATTTCATAGGTTCAATCAAAATGAATTATTCCGTAGATAACAAATTCTTGGTTTAGGAAAATAATGAATTCTGCAATCATCACCTGACAGCCTTGTTTCAGATACAAGAAGTAGTATTATGTATATAGTCCAAAGGAGTGAATAAAACAATTATTATAAAATTGTCATCACCTGAGATAATAATAAATAATGTATGTAATGTAAAAAAAAATATATATCTTGAAACCCCTCTTATATCCCACTAAGCAAAGTTGAAAGATATGTTGATGCAATGTTGAAGCAAATACTGAAACGGACGTTCAGCAATATTGCAAAGGTGAAGTTTGATAATGTAGCATTGCAGCAATATAACATGATACTGTGACATTGCTGGAACGTTACATTCACAAATTTACATTTGCAATATTGCTGAACGTCGGTTTCAGTAATTGCTACAATCTTGCATGAACATAGCTTACAAATTTGCTTAATGGGATAGTTTTTAGTTCAGAATCTAATTTTGTTAATAGCACACTGATAATTTAGTCAAAGAAAAATACCTCAGTAGGCACTACTGGGTGAGATATTTTGATTACAACAGAGAAACAAATTTCAGTTATAGCAGAAAGAATATTTTTTAATTTGAAACATCCTTGATTTCATTCACATGCCTCAACTGAAAAAATGTTCTGAACTTTTCTTGCCACTACAGGAAGGATAAAGGCATTGAAAAGAAACTTTGAATTATACAATATTACAACTATATCTGAGTAATAACATAATACTAAAATATTTACACCCCTTTCTTATTCATTTCAGAAGCAGCTATAAATGTATATTGCTGGGAATCTCCATATGACCTAGTAGGAATACAAGAAATAGCACATTATTTATGGTGAGTCCTATTTTTTATACCAAAACACTCAAGATATCATGAAACTGTTATATTTGAAAAACTCTGATATTTATATATCTGGAGGTAACTGAATATTTTTCAATCTGGTCCACTTACATTTTCCAATTCTAAATCGGCAATTTTCTTTTCTAAATATACAACTTGGTTCTTCTGTGCAAGTAATTGTTTACTCAAATTATCTTCCTTATCCTTCAGCTCCAAACACAATTTTTCCATCTGCCTGCAATTAGTTTCCAGTTTCATTGTATTTTCTTCCATGAGTTTTTGCAGTCTATCATTATCTCCTTCTGTAGGACTTGGTGGAGTTTGTGTTGTTCTGTCATTGGTACAAACCCCAAGTTTTTCCTGAAAATAAAAAACAAAATCTGTGTGCTAGTACCCAAAAAAAGGACATATAGATTCATTTGCAAAAACTCACTGGTTTTTCTGAACTCAAAGATCTAGAGCTGCTCCTTTTTGGCAACAATTCCAAAGCTTGTTGCAAATGTACTGAAGATGCTACCTCAGGAGGCACTCTCTTCAAAGCATACTGCATGTCTGCCACCATCTGATGCACAGTATTGTCTTCTACAAAACACACAAAGATATTTTGTGAGTGCAAAAGAGTGAGTGATTTTGAGATACCTGGTATAACAGCCTGCAGTTGAAACTGCAATTCCTTTGCAAGAAAATGCAGAGTACGAAGTGGATCAAAATTCCCAAATACAGAAGCTTTATCTCCACTCCTCTGTTGCTTCAAAAGTTGCCCCCAAGGTTCTCTATCCACCGTTGTCGATCTTGACCTCTGTCTGTGGTCGTCTGTATTTACAGGAGCCTTATCTGAAGGGGCTTCAACAGCGTTTTCCTGTGGGCTCTGTGGGACTTTGGGAGAATGGAAATTCTGTTGCTTCGTCGCGATTTTGTGCCTGGCTAGTTGGTTTTGATTGGGCTGCAGGGATTTCGATGTCTTTTCGCGGCACTTGTTCCCAGGAGAGATAACCTTCTCCTTGTTGAAGAGTCTTGCCATGTACCTTTCGCAAGCTATCGTTTCTAAATTTATCGAGTTCGGACAATTTTTCAGTCGCTGTGTCATGTTTCGGATAGAATTTTTCGCACGCTCTAATTTTAAAACAAACAGTGGAACAAAAAGACGGGATATTTATTTGAAAGTGACAAGTAAGGTTAGGTAACACTTGTTTTGATTATGAGAAATTAAATTCCATAGCCCGCCAGTTTTAATCACAGAACTCATATTACTTAAGTAATATGAGTTCTGTGGTTTTAATGTGCAAGTCGTTGAATTCTGATGTTTTGTGATTCTGTGTACTGACATGTGACTGACATATGACATATGATAGAGTCATGAACCCTTAGATCATGAAGGAGTGCGCCAGTATGGCTGTTTTCGCATCAGTTTCTGAGCAGTGAGTATATACAGATATATACAGAGTCTTAGCATGCTAGTTGCTGTTGAAATAATGCCGCTACTGTCGCTTTTTGCTTATGTTGTTTACGGTAATGATGTTTAAATATCTAGACAGTCTAGATATTTAGCCGTTTAGCGACCCATATGCATATAGTGTTGAATTTCGAGATCTCCGACAAAATGAATAAAATATTTCAATGGTCACTACGGTATGCTACGATCATTTATATAGGCCCTGTAGTTTTCAAGTCCAAACTTAGTAATTGTGTTAGTTACTAGGGAAAATTATAGTCAAATAGACTTCAAGTTTATGAAGGATTCTTATGAAGGCTCCACGAATATTCGAAACGCTACTATATCTTGAAGGCCTAATATTGTTTCTACACTAACCAAAGTCGCTATATTTGGTTCTTTGGTTGCTTTGCTCTCGTCTCGCACACCAGCAATAACTCTTTTTCAAGATTTGACATGAACGCCGTATTGCAAGGTGGCCAACTATTCAAGACACAATGGATATTAGAGCATAATGTGACCACAAGATCATTATAATTATTATATGGCTGTGTCAAGTCATTCGTTCGGCCACAGTGATCATACCAGGCTTGTCAAAGGTTGACTCTACACAGCCATAGGCTGTCTCCGCTTGTCTCAAAGTCAAAAGAAGTTCAGCTGCATCATAATATGGTAAATTTTCATAATTTTTCACATGAACCGATCAATCGAAGTTATTTCATTTGATACCGTTGAACTGTGCTGTCATTTCCGTTTGATTCTTCGGTAATGTGGAGAAAGAGAAAAGTTGTGGATCTACAAGAATCCTTCATTGGCCTTTTTGGCAATGCTGCTTGGAGCGGCGCGTACGCGGCATCACATGTATATATAGGAGACGACGCCCATCGCATCGCTGTCGGGCCACTGACGTCACTCGTCCGGCCGCTTCGCCATGGCAACGGCGTACGTCACTCTTGTGCCGGCACGGGTTCTGACGACGCTCTGCTCCGGGTTTATCTTGCTCGGCTCCGGAGTTCGAATCGCATAAACGGAACGGACCAGATTCCAGAACTAGTCCGGATGGGAGGGATGTAAGGGATGTGGTGATGGAAGCTCACTTATAAAATTATAAACAATGCATGAACATAACCTCAGTTCTATACATTGTTGGCTTCAAGGCCGAAAATCTTGAACCTCCCTGTATCTGTTTCGATTAAATATCAGTAAATAGTGAAATACAAGTTGAGATAGGGACATATGTGAGCCGTTCTAACCGATAATGAATAGTTTCGACACAAAAAAATCCTAAAGTTGAAAAATCTCGATTTTGAACACCCTATATCTCTGTAATCTTTTTCGATAGACCCCAAGTGTGATGCAACGATGAAATCAGCTTTTCAGGAAGAATCTAAAAATGCGATAAAATACAGGGTGTTCCGTTTGAAATATATCAATATTGATACTACTTTCTAGTAGAAGCGGGAACACTGCATTGTCGATAGCTATATTTATTATACAAGGAAAAAAGGTAGTATACATCAGCTCCATGAGTTCCATGAGCTAAAATCTTCTATGGATTTCCATCAAGTAAAGTAACGGCTGAGTAATATTATCTCAATAGGATTACTCCTTTTTTAAAAGAAATCTGGCACAACCCTGAATTAATTATTATTCCGAACTGTATTCATTCTATTCATCCCGCATTTATTTCAGGAACAATATTTGCAGACACCGGTTGCTTTTGATGTTTTCTACGTTATTTTTTTAATGAACTTTTCTCCTGAATACGTTCAACTTAACATTAAAATTCATGAAGCCATTTTTAATTAATATAAGAAAATTGTCGGTATTACTCCACTGCATCCACAGAATTTAAAAATCACTAAGTTGATGAATACTCCAGACTTTATTAAATTAATTGAAAAGGATCTCGGAAGACCATCTTCATTTGAATAAAATTATTTAGTGTGAAATTTGTTTCTATAGAAAAATACTTCGAACAGAATGGTACCGAGAAAGCCCAGCTAGTCTATGTTTGGATGATGAATATTGAGGACATTTTTCTAAAGTTCTATGAAGAGGATTTTGTTTGAACGTTTAACCTTAGTTTAATTGGAATCTATAGGTCGCGTGCACGATGACCGACCCTGGAGGCAAAATATTGAAACACAACCTCACTCTTCTGTGAATTATTGAAACACAACCTCACTTTTCCATTTGTTTACAGAGGGATCAAAGGATTGAAATAGTTTTTCACAATATTTTGGCATACGAGTCGTGTTTTTTTGCGCTATTCATTATTTCAAGCATGCCTTCGCATTGTGCTGTTGTACAATGCAGCGAGAGACGAAGGAATATCATTTTCCAGGTAAATAGTAATCTCACATAGTTATCATTATGAAATGTTGTCATTCCTTATTAAAATTCCTTCTGCCTTCTGCCACTTCTGCAATACAAGCTAATACTGCTAATAGATTGAAAATGTCTACAACACACACATATTTCGTCAGCATGTCAGACCAGTCCTCCCGATTGATTGCATGGATCCAATCTTCTTGCATTATTTTAGAAATTTCACGTGTATTTCTATTAGCTCCTATTGCAGAAGGAATTCCGATGAGAAATCAGAAAAATTACCAAATTTCAAAAATGAAAACTATATGTGAAAAATACGATTCGTATATCAAAATAATTGTGAAAAACTATTTCAATCACTTGTAAACAAATAAGAAAAGTGAGGTTGTGTTTCAATGTTGTGCCTCCAGGCAGGGCCTACTCTATCTCACCTAGAGTAGGCCCTGCTCCAGGGTCGTTCATCTGACAGTTCTTGCAAGCAACACATCCTGACATATCTTTCCTTGGTTGATTTTGCAAGAGTGAATCGCACCGAAATTATAATAAGTAGTTGTGGTGGCGCAAATAACCAATTTATCTAAATTCACTTCAATTTTGTGGCTGTCCCGATTCTCAACACTGAGTCGACATAGCCCTATAGGCATTTGTGCATTGTTCGGAAGCGCTTTATGTGGCTTTATAGCCAATGTTAACATGTCAGTGTCAATATATCAGAGAACATTGTTGGAAATCGAATACACTCGATGAAGGTCCCATAGTTGGGTCTGAATAATGATGCCCTACCACCCTTGCTGTCTGGAATGGTTAGGCATGACTATTCAGCGTTCACTTGTTTCGCTGGCCCGAATATTGCCATTTCTCTCATTTACACAGAAGATTCCTCTGATGATTCATACTTTACATATCGCCGGAAAAAAGACAAAATGTTGGGTTGATTCGTTCAAAACTCGAGTCCCTTAATGGAAATTAACGTTAAGGTCATCTTAACAGGGTACGGATAGATCCTCGTCTCCTCACTCTGAAGTGTTTGTGAAACAGTTATATAGTTCCATCCATGTACCATCCTTATTCAATTGAGTGGCAAGTATCAAATACTGCTTCTCTGATCTGCAACAGAACATCACATATCAATCGAAGTACATTTATATCAGAAAATAAATATCATTAGATGAATTACATGGATGTTGAGTCTGAGACATACCTGAATAATAAATTCAACGGCCGTAACTGGATTGCTACATATCCGCTTTTTTTCCGAATAGTGTTTTTTCCAGTAGGCATCTTCCACATTTTCAATTACGTACGTGGGTTATATTAAGGACCTTGAAGGCCAAACGATGTGCTGCTCGAATCTAAAACTGAGGATCAATTTCAAATTTGAATCGTGAGACCTACTTAGAATATTGGATATTGTTTTCAACATTCGTAACTGGAACGCGATATATTTTTGTAATTCATCAATTCATCAACTATCTCAATGAAGACGAGACAGGCAGATAAACAACAATTTTCTCTGCGATGAAGAACACTGTATATACCTAACCCACCATGCGCCTACCTCCTTTGCAGAGAGGGTTTATAAACGCCGAGTTGATACTCTCCCCTCGTAAGGGTACCTGTCGTGTTTCCATAGAGACATAAAGCTGAATATCTGTCTATCTGTCTGCTTGAGAATCTGGAAAGGTAATCAATATATCGCCTTCCGTACGAATATAATGATCTGAATTCTGTAAAGTATACTCTGGTCAATTCTCTTTGCGGATCTTCTGTTCGGTCCGTATTTACTGGATGGTTTTCTCCGATTGAGTGGCAAGTATCAAACACTGTTTTTCGGATCTGCAACTAAACATCACATATTAATCGAAGTACATTTGAATCAGAAAATTAATATCATCAGATGAAGTACATGGATGTTGAATCTGAGACATACCTGAATAATATTTCCATTTTTCAACGTCCGTAGCTAGATTGCTACATATCCGCTTCCTTTCCATACGGTGGTTTTTCCAGTAAGCATCTTTCACATGTTCAATTACGTTTGTTATATTAAGGACCTTGAAGGCCAAACAATGTGCTGCTCAGATCTAAAACTAAGTATGAATTCCAAATTTGAATCGTGAGACCTACATAGAATATGAATCTATGGAAAGTCTGGATATTGTTTTCAACATTCATAACTGGAACGCGATATATCTTTGTAATTCATCAAATCATCAACTATCTCAATGAAGACGAGACAGGCAGATAAACAACAATTTTCTCTGCAATGAAGAACACTGTATATACCTAGCCCACCATGCACCTGGAGAATTCTAAAAATAATATATGAAATTGAAAGTTATTTGAGTGATGATTCTATTTAAGAAATAAAAAAATTAGTCAACCCGCCTATTTTATTTTTGTGGATGGTTCCGTAGCTGATGTTAGCAAGCAGTGTATATCACTGAAAAATAAAGCACACATTTGGA